TAAATACAACTTTAGGAATATAGTGATTCTTCCCACTGTACCCACCCTCCCACCCACACTCTCATCCCTTGATATTCTTTCTCTAATAATCCCACTATCTTAGATTTTGCAGGTCAGCCCTGCAGGTATTCTTGCCATGGACTCTTGTGTAGGGTACCTTGTTTCCATGAGCCTTCTGTGACTTGATCACATGCTGTACTTCCTTAGAGTTGTATCAGTAGCTGTCCTTTTTTTTTTTTTTTTTTTTTAAGATTTATTTGAGAGGCAGAGTTACAGATAGACAAAGGGAAAGACAGAGAGACCTTACATCCGCTGGTTTACTCTTCAAATGGCCACAATGGTGGGAGCTGGGCTGATCCAAAGCCAGGAGCCAGGAGCTTCTTCCAGGTCTCCTACACAGTGCAGGGGCCCAAGGACTTGGGCCATCTTCTACTGCTTTCCCAGGCCATTAGGAGAGAGCTGGACCAAAAGAGGAGCAGCTGGGACTTGAACTGGCACCCATAAGGGATGCTGGCGCCACAGTCAGAAGCTTAATCTATGCCACAATGTGGGCTCCGTCAGCAGCAAATGTTCTTTAAGCCTAGGAAACATTATTAGCTAACCCAGGGCCCCTTCAAATGAAATGTTTAATATTGTCAGAACTTATAAGTAGCACATACTTGTGCCCCAAACTCATGTTGGGTTGAGGTTGTGATTGTGAATTTTTGGACACATTTTTCATACCCCTTCTGTCCAGACAGAAGACCAGTGCAGAAATAGCTTTCTTGTGCTCCATTTTCTGCATCAGACTTTGTTCTTTTCCTCCTTTGCCAAAGGGGTTAGGGATAGCCTGCACATGTGGCTTATTAGACACCTCCCTTGGTAGAACCCAAGTTTTCTCTTCCTTTGCTTGCACGGTTGGATTACCATGTCTTGAAGTCTTCCATACACACACCCAGAAATATCTGAATCAGAACTAAGAGCCTTCGCACAGCCTCACAGCAGAAGTGGTTGCATCTGTACTGTAATGCTTGACCCCTATACCCAGTCCCCCATGGGGCAGCACAGGGAGGGTGGGGATCTGTGTTATTGGAGAGAAACTTCAAAGTTATGAATCTCAGAGTTTATGTAATAGCTGCCACATCTACCCCTCTTTCCCTCTGTGGGAGGAAAGAAAATTATTAAGGTGTTGGGGGGAAGAGAGGGAAGGAAAGAGAATGAGGGAAACCAGGCTTTGATTTGGGAGGGTTTGCACATTCTCTGTTGGGAAATCAGGGAAGTCTCCACCCTGGAATGTAAAGTTTCCAGGCTCCAAGGGAGAAAGAGATTTTATCACCCTTTAATTGGGAGCAGATGGCTTGGGCGAGCAGGGAGTCTGCACCTGGACAGATTTGGGCTTGGAGACCAGTGGCCCCCCATCAGCCCTGCTTAGAATATGGAGAGCAAATGGCCTGAGGGGGCTTGGTGGAAGACATTCTATGGGGGGTGACAGGGAGAGCCTTGGTTCTGGCTGACAGTCCCTGGATTCCTGCTTCCACTTTGCTTCTGGCCCCTGTGTGCTCTTCTGTACTTTTTTCGCAGTCTCAGACATTCATTCAAAAGGAAGCTTTAAATATTCTGCCCATTAGCTGTAGGTGTTTTTGCAGTAGCAGGTGTCAGGAGAGAAGAGACAGAGTATGAAGTGACAGCCAGACCAGGTTTCTTCAGAAGAAAAAATGAAGCCTGCGAGGGGCTCAGCCCAGGTGAATACTCAGCCAAGAGTTGCCAGCAAACACACAGCAGAGAGCCCCCTTCCCATACAGACTAGCGGTTTATATGGCACAAAGTGGCAGGAAGGGGCTTGGGGTCTGAGCTAAAGCTGGGCTGCTCCGGTAGAGGGAGAGCTAGGACTTGTAAAGGTCCTGCGAGATTACAGTGTGAGCTGGGAGGCATTTGGGCCAAGGCTGAGGCTGGACTGGGACTGAGCTTCTGAGTTGGGGGAGAGAGCTTGGGAAGAGTGGGTGTAGAGGAAATAAGGCTGCAAGCAGAGACAAAGGAAGGAAAGCGGACCCTCCAGCACTAACTTGGAAAGCGGCTGCTCCCAAATATCTGGTGAAGCAGCTGTGCCCGGTTATCTTATCTAGGGAGGAAAGATGTCGTAAGCTCTGCTTTCTGTAGCTCTAGACATAAAATCTGTCCTGTAAACCTGCCCCAGGTATCTCTTTTACAAACATAGCAGACCCGCCGACCATTAGAAGTGTGGTCCCAAGTCACGCAGGCTACAATTTAAACTCACCAGTGCTGTGAACAGTTCAGGTATGATGCTGACGAACTTATAAATATGGTAAGAAACCTAGGCTCAGGGCTCAGTTCTCAGGGAATGATTCCCACTGAGCCTGCTGGAGTTCGTAAACTGCTTTATATCCTTTGCTGTCTGATGCTTATTTGAACAAAGGGAATTTTCCCACTCCAGGTTTCTGTAACATGGGGAGAGCTCAGGTTGCTGGTTGGACTCTTCAGATAGGTGTGTGTCCAGCAGTACAGACTAGGCAGGGCTGGTCAAGGCAGGGCAGCAGTGGGGGCCTGGCTGCTATGTAGGTGAGAGGTCAACGTGGAGCTAAAGCTTTCTGTTGATGCTCCATCAGCAGGGTTTCTAAATACTTAGTCCGTTGTACTGGTGTTGCTGAAAATGGAAGCCTGCTTCATGTTCTGGGCTGAGATGCAGTACAAAAGGTGAAGCATTTGGAGCCTGGGCTCTGGGGCTCAAGTCCAGGCTTCTTTAAATCTATGAAGCTTTAGTTTTAAGCAAATAATTTATCTTTCCTGGGGCCAGCGCTGTGGCGCAGTGGGTTAATGCCCTGGCCTGAAGTGCCAGCATCCCATGTGGGTGCCAGTTCTAGTCCCGGCTGCTCCTCTTCCAATCCAGCTCTCTGCTAAGGCCTGGGATAGCAGTGGAAGATGGCCCAAATCCTTGGGCCCTTGCATCCACATGGGATACCTGGAAGAAGCTCCTGACTACTGGCTTCAGATCGGTGCAGCTCCGGCCATTGCGGCTATTTGGGGAGTGAACCAGCAGATGGGAGACCTCTCTCTCTGTCTCTACCTCTCTCTGTAGCTCTGTCTTTCAAATAAGCAAAATAAATATTTTTTAAAAATTAAAAAAATAATTTATCTTTCCTAGTCCCAGTTTGCTCATCTGTAAAAGTAGAGACACTAATGGTCCCTATGCCAAAAGGTTGTTCTGCAAATGAGATAGGATCAGGCATTTTGAGCCCCGGGCCTTGCACAGGATATGTGCTCTGTGGATGCTGTTCAGAAGCATGACCAGTATTGCTTGAGGACTCATTGATGAGAATTGAACCAGGCACTTAGCAGCAATGATTCCTCCAACCTGAGGCATTCCTGTCCCATATCCTTGCTGAGCTCTGATGGTGAGAGGACTAACCTAAGGTCTAAGGGAGCTCTGTGGAGGGCTGATGCCCTTGGCACAGCAGGTTAAACTGCTCTTTACATGGCCGGAGTCCCATATGGGTGCTGGTTTGAGTCCCAGCAGCTCCACTTCTGATCCAGGTCCCTGCTAATGCATCTGGGAAAGTGGAAGATAGCCAGAGTACTTGGGCACCCGCCACCTACAGGTGAGACCTGGATGAAACTCCTGGCCGTTACACCCATCTGGGGAGTGAACCAGTAGATGGAAGATCTGTCTGTCTGTCTGTCTGTCTGTCTCTCTCTCTCTCTTTCCCTCTCTCTCTGTAACTCTACCTTTCAAATAAACAAATAAAGAATCTGTAATGACAGTGGCCCAGTGTGGGCCATGGTCAGGGAGTGGCAGGCACACCATGGATGTGGGCCAGGGTGCAGTCAACACAGGACTCTGCTCGAAGAAAGGGCACTTCCTCTGGCCTGCAGAGGTTGCTAGGTAAGAGACAAAGGCAAAGGCAGAAGGTACTTCTGAAAGAGGAGACTGGAAAACACAGGAGCAGTAACCCCTGATGCACTCAGTAAGTGGTGCTGGATTTGTGGAAGCCGTGGAGGGGAAGAAGCTGTCGAGATGGAACCATGGGGCCGACCAGCCTTGCTTCCCAGGCCCGGGCTCCACTCCTCAGCAGGTGCTCCCCTCTCTCCAGGAGCCGTGACATCCTCAGCTTCTCTCAGGGGACTTCAAGGAGACAGATGTCCATCCTACCAGGACTTCTTCTCCAAGGACAGCCATTTCCACCATACTCCCTTTTAAGTGTATGCTGCTTGGAGGGCAGGGTCTTACTGTCCCTTTAAAAATACAAATTTCTTACTTTTTCCACATTTTTTAAAGTGATACATACAAGTGCACTTCAAAAGTTTGTAGGAAAATGGAATTAAAAGATAAGTTCATTTTGGTGCAAAAAAGTTTTAACCCATGCATTTTTTCATAATACACGTTTTCATCAACTTTTTGAAGACCCCTTGTATGCAAGAATTTAAAATTTTTGCACCAGAATAAATGTATCTTTTAATTCTACTTTCTATTAATTTTATGAAGCACCTCATATTCACTGTAAAAAAAAGTCTAAAAAACCAAACAGTATTAAAAAGAAACACATATCCACCAATCCAGAAATGACTGTCATTGATATCCATATAGCAGTATTCTGCTGTATCCTGTATGGTTGCTTTTACCTTCCTAAAATCACAGTACAACGTGATTCTGGACTCTGCCTTTCTCTGTCATTTAGAACTATCTGTCAGTATTCTCCTGGCTGCCTGATATTCCATTGTACACATGGATCATTCTCTGATGTTGGTGTGCAGGTTGATTCCCATGCACTATTCCTGAACAATTCTAAGGATCTTGAGCCTTATTGGCACCTTGCTTTTCCAAAAGCTGTGCCAGTTCACTCCTCTTCTCTAGCAGGTGGAAGCAGCAATCCAGACTCCCATGCGTCTCCCTTTCCAGTGGTTTGTAATGGAGGAGAGCCTGGAAGGCCCAGGTGCTGGCAGCGATACGAGATTCTCTTGTCATTTTGATTTTTCCAACTGTTGTCCACGTTTCCCTTCTTCTTCAGGGAGAGACCAACAGGATCGTAGCCTCACACACGATGAACAAAAACTCGTCCAGGTCACACTGCATCTTCACCATCTACGTGGAGGTAGGCACGCACCCTCTGATGAGACTGGAGCCCGGGCCATCAGAAAGCCTAACTTCTGCTTGGGGTGTTTCGTAGGCTCACTCTCGGACCTTATCAGACGAAAAGTATATCACTTCCAAAATTAACCTGGTGGATCTGGCAGGTTCCGAGAGGCTGGGCAGGTCTGGGGTAAGTGAGGGGCGCCGGAGATCCCTTCTCAGCGAGCCCTGAGACAGTTTCCCACCTAGTAACCGTAGTGCCTGGGCACAGGGGCCGTCCCTCTTTGGGTGTCTGTGGGCAAGGTCAAGTGGAGCCCGTAGAGTAGCTGGAGGGCCAGAATTAGCAGAAGCAGGCCCTGCCTCACTGGGTTTTTATAGGCAGTGAGTGAGATGATGCCCCCTAAATTCTCAGTGAGCTGCCTGGCTAGTGTGGGAGCATGAGCAGTGCGTTTCAAAGAGCAATTCGCATGCAAGCACGGGTAGTCTCAGGAGTGTTGAGATGAGCCCTGGTGTCAGGAAAGAAGAGAGTAAGAAGCCACAGCCAGACCAGGCTTCTTGAGGAAAGTAAAGCCTGGGAGGGCTTCACTGCCGGGTGCAGGCACGGCAGAGAGCGAGCCCCCCCCCCCCTTACAAACCACTGGTTTGTGTAGCGCAAAGTGGCGAGCAGGGGCTTGGGGGTCTGAGCTAAAGCTGGGCTGCCAAGATAGAGGGATAGTTTGGGCTGGTTTTTTGGGTTTTTGTTGTTGTTGTTGTTAAGATTTATTTATCTATTTGAAAGGCAGAGCTACAGAGAGGCAGAAGCAGAGAGATCTTGCATACCCTGGATCACTCCCCAAATGGCCACAACAGCCGGAGCTGGGCCCATCCAAAACCAGGACCCAAGAGCTTTTTCTGGGTCTCCCACATGGGTGCAGGGGCCAGAGCTGAGCTGATCCAAAGCCGGGAGCCTCTTCTGGGTCTCCTGCATGGGTGCCATCTTCTACTGCTTTCACAGGCCACAGCAGAGAGCTGGATCAGAAGTGGAACAGCCGGGTCTCAAACCAGCACCCATATGGGATGCCAGCACTGCAGGTGGCAGCTTTACCTGCTATGCCGCGGAACCAGCCCCAGGGCTTGGGCTCATTCTAAAGGTCTTGCAAGATCACAGTGTGAGCTGGGAGGGGTTTGGGCTAAGGCTGAAGCTGGACTCTGGGACTGAGCTGCTGAGATGGGAGGGAGAGAGCTTGGGAGGAGTAGGGAGAGCTCAGGCTGATGGCAGCCCGAGCATGAGGGCAGTTTGGAGTGAGCGAAGCTGGCCTTTGGTTTCCAGTCGGATGGCCGCGTTCTGAAGGAAGCCACCTACATCAACAAGTCCCTGTCGTTCCTGGAGCAGGCCATCATCGCCCTGGGTGACCAGAGGCGAGACCACATCCCCTTCCGGCAATGCAAGCTCACCCACGCCCTGAAGGACTCTCTAGGTGAGAGCGTGGCTGGGGCCCAGGAGGGACATCTCCCCTGGGGCCCACAGGACCGCCCCCTCCCAGTGCTGTGGACCCACCTGCAGCCACTCCCAGAGAGGCAGAAGCCAGCCCAGGGCCCTCTTCTCACACCCAGAACACTCAGTACTGGTCACTCCTCCCAGCGTTCACTCTGCTGGAAACACCATTCGTTTCCCTCATCCGGAAATAGGGGGCAGAATCTTGCATGGCCTTGAAGGCCCAGCAGGAGGGCGTCTCCCACGCTGCCCTCCCTTGCCCCACAGTCTCCCGCAGGAGCAACAATGACTGTGCCTTGTCGTCCCCGTGTCCCAGGCCCCTGTGCTGGGCCTGACCACACGGTCACTGGTGTCTGCTAGCAAAGTGCCAGCCAGGAAAGCCCTGGCTCAGCCCGCTCCCGACCCTGCCCCACGCACCTCTCCTCTGCTGTCCTCTCTGACTCCTCTTTTAGGAACTTCCGTTGGCCTCGGCCCCTCCCCTCTGTCTCGCCAGCCTCCGCACACTTGCCAAGTTCTTGCCGACCCTGTCCTAGTTAGCATGGGCCAACATCACAAACTACCATCAACTGGCAGCTTCGACGGCAGATGTTTCTCAGCGTTCTGGAGGCTGGCGAGTGCAAGGAGGAGGTGCCGGCAGGTGCTCGTTTCTTGCAGATGACCTCCATGGGAAGAGAGAGAGGCTCTGGTCTCTGTCCTCTCACAAGCACATGGAGCCCTTCATTGGGACTGACCCTCAGGACCTCATCCATACCTCCTTAGTTCCCAGAGTCCCCTACCCCCAAACACCATCCCCCCCTGGGAAGTAGGACTTCTATATGCAGATTCTTATGGGGAGAAATGTTCAGACCATAACAGACCCCAGCAGCTCCATGGGAGGCCCTTGGCAGAAAAGCCACGTGGCTCACGGCCCCTCCGTGTCCCACTCCCTACAGGGGGAAACTGTAACATGGTCCTGGTGACAAACATCCACGGTGAAGCCGCCCACTTGGAAGAAACGGTGAGGCCATGGCGGAAGGCTGGCAGGGATCCCTCCCAGGGCCCCGGGGCTGGCCTAGGCTGGCTGCGGGCTACAGGAACTGCACACCAGCCACAGGCACTGTCCGGATTGGAGGCATCCAGGGGATGGGTCTGAGCCAGAGTTGCTTGGGGACCTGGAGCCAGGAGGTGAACCCCAAACCTGGGCTGTGCAGAGGCAGCAAGCCAGGCAGGAGGCAGGTGCAGGAGGCGAGTGGGAGTCAGCCTCGTGGGGGCGGAATCGCGCCTCCTGGGGAGCTACTCCCAGGACTCAGGATGGAGAGTTACTCATTCTTCTGTCCACACGTGTTTAGACATCTCGAGAACACCACGGTGTCCAGGGCATGGCTGTGGCCTGTAGGAGGAGACAGGTGGCAGGTGGTAAGGGAGGGAGCACAGCTCAGGAGACTTGAGAAGCACATGGCCTTGGGCCCCGAAGTCCCCAGCCCAGGAAGAGAGAGAAGCTGGGGCCCCAAGTGTGAGGCCCAGATGGAAGCCACCTTCAGAGGAGGCTGGAGGTAGTGGGCTTCCTGAAGCTGAGTGGGGAAGGGGACATTGGGCCGGCTGGGGAGAGAGGACTGGTGGTGGGGCCTGCAGGGCTGTTCCTGTCAAAGGTAACATGGGACAAGGTGTGACCCCGCTGGGAACATCTGGCTGCCTCTCAGAGGGGTTCAGAAAAGAGAGAAAGGAAGGAGATAGCAGGGTCTGGATGGGCCCTGGAGGCCTTGGCTGGCCTGCTGCAGGTGGCTGGGGACATCGCAGGGACTGAGGGAGGGAGAGCTGTGGCCAGAGGTGTGACTCCTGCAGACGAACCCCAGGGCAGGCAGGACACAGGCGGCCTGGGGAAGGGGGAGCTCCTAAGAGCCAGAGGCAGGAGGAAGCCTACGTTGCAGTGATGCACCCCACATTGGAGCTCCCCTGCCATCGTGCGACATGGTGGCGCACCCCACATGGGAGCTCCCCTCCCATCCTCGTGCACAAGAAAGGCATGAAAAGCAGCCATGAGACTGTCTGCTTCTTGTGTGCGGTTGTTTAAGGCACACGAGGCCTTCAGGGAACTGCGTCCTTTCCAGGGACACTGCTGCAAGATGGCCTGCAGGGCCTCCCAGCTGTGTGCCCGAGGGACTGTGCCAGCCTCCAGGGCCCTGAAACTCAGGAGCGCTTGCCGCCACCCCAGAGGAGGCTTTTGGAAACTTCCAGCAAAGCAGAGCTAGACCTCAAGGAGCCATAAAAAACCAGCACCACCTGCCTTCTTGTTAAGAAGGATGCCCGCCCTCCCTTTGTCTCCACCCCTGCGAGGGTTTTCCTGCAGGCATTGGAGAGACGGAGGAAGGCTGTCAGGGTGCAGGGAGAGAAAGGAACCTCCTGGGCGAGGCAGCCCTGGAACAAAGGCCTAGAGGTGGGTGATGATCAGGTCGGCTGGAGAACTGGACATCGTGTGTCCTCATAGTGTCCAAGGTGGGGAGCAGGCTGTCGTGTGTGTGCTTGTCAGCTTCCTGCCTTCCTGCTCCACTCACTGGGGGGCTGCAGTGCCAAGAGCCCTTCCGAGCAGTGTCCCCGCAGGGAAGTGGACCCACCTGGCTTGGCAAGACAGTGTGAAGAGCACCGAAAGGGGAGGCAGGAGTCTGAGAAGGTGGCCCCCAGGGTCTGCCTGCAGCGGGGCACCGGGTGACAGTGGCCTGGTCTGTATTTCAGCTGTCCTCGCTGCGGTTTGCCAGCAGGATGAAGCTGGTCACCACGGAGCCCGCTGTCAATGAAAAGTATGATGCTGAGGTACTGAGGGGCTGTGGGCAGGTGCCTGGTGGTGTGGGTTTGCTCCTTGGGGCACACAAGCCTGGCTTTCCTTCCTGCCTCAACCCTGGATCAGTCTATTTCCACCCTGGGACATGGCAGTCTTCAGGGCTCCTGGAGACCCTAAGAGGCTACCACAGAGGTGAAAGGGGCTAGCGCAGGCCTCCATCATGGTCGCGTGTGGAGCACCAAGGGTTCTCCACAAGATTTCCCTGGAGCTAAGTGTGCCAGAACTAAATCAGTGTGTGTATCTCTGGGCCACCTCACTGCTAAGTCTCCTTCCTTGCAGCCTGGGTGGGCCTGGTGGGCAGAGCTGGCCAATCAGAATGAATTCTCAGCATCACCATTAGCCAGGGAAATGTAAATTTTTTTTTTTTTTTTTTTTTTTTTTTGACAGGCAGAGTGGACAGTGAGAGAGAGAGACAGAGAGAGAAAGGTCTTCCTTTTGCCGTTGGTTCACCCTCCAATGGCCGCCGCTGCAGCCGGCGCACCGCGCTGATCCTGGCAGGAGCCAGGAGCCAGGTGCTTTTCCTGGTCTCCCATGGGGTGCAGGGCCCAAGCACCTGGGCCATCCTCCACTGCACTCCCTGGCCATAGCAGAGAGCTGGCCTGGAAGAGGGGCAACCGGGACAGAATCCGGCGCCCCAACCGGGACTAGAACCCGGTGTGCCGGCGCCGCAAGGTGGAGGATTAGCCTATTGAGCCACGGCGCCGGCTCGGGAAATGTAAATTCTAACTTGAGTGGAATTGAGGCTCCTGAATCCCAAGCATCAGAACTTGGTCCTAAACAGAGCACCAAACGTTAGAGTTTTAGTGAAGAATGATGTGGAGAAACAGAAACTTACATTTCTAAGTGGCGCATAATTGACACACCCACCTCTGGGAGCTTTTTGGTAACACCTACTGAAGTTAAAGCACATTTGTGCTCATCTGGCTTTGCTTAAAGGTGCTTCTGGACCATGTTACTAGAGGCAGGAGCTCACGGAGTTCCAGTTAAACTTCCCAGATTCTAAATCCGGAAGGAGAATGACAGGATTTGGCTCTGTGGCACTAACACATTGTGGGTTGGGGCAGAGAGATAGCTTGGGGCATCAGAGTCACCGGCTGGCTTGCTGATCCACAGGTCACTGGGCCCACTCCCATGATATCTTTTCCAGAGTTGAGGAGAAGGGAGAGGGATGGCCATCCAGCTGCTCCCCTTGACCTCACAGGAAGGCCACACCTAAAGGAGACCTTCGGACACCCAGAGAAGTAGAGCCAGGATTTGGACCCTAGTCAGGTGCCTTGGGTTCCAGTCTTTTTACCTGAATTGTCACAGAGCCACTAAGGTGCTAGCAAGCTGTCACCCCCTGCTAGGTGAGGGCCAGGTGGCAGGTGGGCCTCCGTGCCCATGGACCTGGCTGGAGGAGGGCTACAGTGAAGCAGGCCTTTGTCCTGGGGAAGGGAGGGTGGGGCAGGGCTGTGGACTGGTTGCAGCTTTGGTCATTAGTCCTGGAATCCAGGATCTGTTTTTGGTTATATTTTTCATTTATTTATTAGAGTGATGTCGAGGGTGGGAGGACAGAAAAAGACAGAGATCTACCATCTGTTGGTTCATTCTCCAAATGCCCACAACAGCTTGGACTGGACCAAGCCAAAACCAAGAGCCAGCAACTCGGAACTCCATCTGGGTCTCCCACATGGGTGGTAGGAGCCCAAGTACTTGGGCTGTTGTCTGCTGCCTCTCAGGTGCATTAACAGGAAGCTGAATCAGAAGCCAAGTAGCTGGGACTTGAACCGGCATTCCCATACAGAGTGTAAGTGTCCCAAAGGGCAGCTTAACCAGCTGCACCCAATGACAACACAGGAAGCCCTGTTGTTCACAGCATGAAATCCTCTGTGCTGCTTTATGGGAGACAGACAGTCTCTACTAAAGACGAAGTGACTAAGTGGGCTGCCTCCGGAACTGTTATCCTTTATACCTCCTGGAGTCAGATCTGAGCAGTGCTGACCCTGTGCAGGGCACATATTGAAGCACTTGGGAGTCCTGGCTCGGTGAACAGAAATACACATCTCTGAGCTTCCAGCTCCCTGGGGCAGGGAAGAGCAATGATAGCACACACAGTGGCCGGGCAAGTCCTGGAGCTTCATTGTCCAGTACAGAGATCGCTCCTCACCCAGTACAGGGACCACTCCTCACATGTGGCTACTTAATCCACTCAAATTACAGCCCACTTCCTCAGTCACATTAGCCACACCACAAAGGTTCAGTAGCTCCAAGCTGAACCTCTGTGTCCATGGGTTCCATTTGCATGGATTCAGCCAACTGTAGATAGGAAATACAAGGGCATTTCAACAAGTTCATGGAAAATGAAATAAAAAGCAAAGTTTATTTTGGTGCAAAAACGTTTTGAAATCCACACATAGAAGGTTTTGAACAAAGATTTTAGGAAGTTTGGGCATGAGCCGTGAGAGTGCCTGGGAGAAGAGCACTGGGGCACAGGAGACCGGCGGGCAGAGGCGGGGATGTGCCAGCCCAGTGGGATTCATGTGACCTGATTCGGGGAGCGGTAGAAGAGAGGTGGTGACGGTCTTCTACAAAGCCTGTGAGGATGCCGTGACCCATGTGCAGGGCTCAGCTTGCTGTGCTGTGGGACTCCAAGGGTGGTGAGCTGTCTACACTGTGGTTGTCCACAGGCAGCACCCTGGAGCCCACAGGCTGCGTGGAAGGGGCCACTGTCCTGGCAGAATGGGCTGAGCCTGGAGCCCTGGAGTCAGAGTTGGGGTGGCCAAGGGGCCGGTGTTCTCCCCATTCCCAGTCTCCCTGCTGGAAGAGGCCAAGGCCGAGGGACTGCTGAGGCCCCCTCAGAGCCTGAATTCACCGCAGTTGGGGAAGGGTCACCAGCAGGAGGGGAGGGGATGGACCGGAAGCTGAGGACACAGCCCGTGAGGCCCCAGGAACAGCCAGACATCAGGGCACAGACAAGAAGTCCGGCACTTGATGTGGCAGAGGCAGGTGGCCTCCTTGACGATGCTTCCCGTCACCCCTGCCCTGTCTCCACTCTTTCCTGCTAGCGAATGGTCAAGAACCTGGAGAAGGAGGTGGCACTGCTGAAGCAAGAGCTGGCCATCCACGACAGCCTGGTGAGATGCTCGCGGCAGAGGGAGGGTGTAGGGTCTGGGGCCGGGGCACTGGGACAGGCTGTGTAGGCTGGGAGGGGGCAGCAGCACGGGGCCGTGAGGGCAGAGGTGGGAGAGAGTCCCCTGGTGGCCCACCTGGGCCAATGTTCAGAGTTGCAGGGCCTCAAGACAGAGGCAGCACTGCCCCCCACACACACACACACACCCAGCATCACCCTGCAGAGTCTGCTGAGACAGGACCAGTGGGCCTCCTCATCAGCTGGCCCCATGTCCAGTGGCTTCCTCCTCTTGCCTACTGTCCCCTCTGACCCAGGCCCTCTCCTGCACAATGAGGACAGTGAAGGACAGAGCCTCGTAGGCCTGTGCCAGCCTCCTCACTGTGGCTCCCAGAAGGGCCCCTGCTGATCCACATGTTCTTCATCCTCCTTCAAGGCCAACCGCACCCTCGTGACCTACGACCCCATGGATGAAATCCAGATTGCCGAGATCAACTCCCAGGTGCGGAGGTACCTGGAGGGGACGCTGGACGAGATTGATGTAAGGAACCCTCTGCAGGACTGCCGTGTTCAGCTGGCTTGGGCTTCCCTGTCCTGGGCACACTTCCTGTGTGTACATACAGTGTCTGTGTGTTGTGGGGGGTTAACACTGGACCCCCAGGGATCGGGTTCCTTTAGCCCACCACGGCCTCAGCTTCCATGGTTAGGGTTACAGGGTCATGGGGCTGCACAGAGTGGCCAGTGGCCTTGAACACATGCAATACAGGAGTGGGCCCAGTGGGGGCCACAAACATGGGCCCTGCAGCAAGGCTGCCTGAATTCAGTTCCCCCCAGCTGCCTGCTCGCAGAGTGACCTGGGCAGTGTGCCCACCTCAGCTGTGCACAGGGAGAGACAGCGAGCAGGGGTTACTGAGCTGCTGCCCTTCAGGGGCTTGGCTGTGTTCCGATGAAGCCACATAAGCATGGCAGGGGTGCTGGTTGTCTAGCGGGCAGGTCCCGGGAGTGGGCCAAGGAGGGAAAGACACCCCTTGTTCTTCCAGTGCAGGCCACATGGGCTGCCACTGTGAGCAGCCGCAAGAGGTGGGCCTGGGATTCCTGGAGGGTGGGGCAGCCACCAACAGCCCTTGATCAAGGGTGAGGCCCAGGGCTTAGGACCTTAGGGCCGTTGACGCTCCAGCCACAGACGTGTGTGTGTCCGGGTCCACTCAGACGTCTTCAAAAGTGGGCTCCGTGTGAAGGTGGCCAGCTGAAGGTCCAGGAAGCAGGAGAGAGCCAAGGAGCTGGATTTTATTTAAAACTCTTTTCTTGGGATGTGTTTTCAAGAATTAGAGCCGTTTCCCTTGTGTGAGATCTTCCCTGTCACAGTGCAGAAAACACCGAGTCGTAAAGCTGTTAAAGAACTGGCGCTCCTGCTGCAGAGCAGCCGGATGGCCCTCTGCTGAGAGGCCAGCTCCAGATGCCCCCTTCCTGAGATGGCGCAGCAGGGGTCAGCAGGGGGCCTGGTTTCTCCCCCAGCGCCCGGGGTCTCACCACCACCCTGCTCCCTCCCCAGATCATCAACCTGAGGCAGATCCAGGAGGTCTTCAACCAGTTCCGGGTGGTCCTGAGGTGAGGGCCCCTGCACCCCCCTCCTCACACCCCCTCCCCACCATGCTGCTGTTCTCCTTGCTGGTGGTCTGAGCTCTTGCATCCCAGAGCACCCCTGCTCTCGGAGGGAAAGCAGAGCCCTCAGGGCATACCCGGCCCCTGGTGGGGTTCACTGAGTTCCTAAATTGGACAGGAGGTGTTTATGGAGCTCCAGCCCTGAGCATGCATCATGAGTGATCCTTGCCCCCTTGGTCTCGGGGCAGCTGTGGTTTGTGTGGGTGCAGAGCTCATGCTGGGTGAGGTCACAGAGGGGGTCATGTGATTCTGAGGGGCCTCATGTGATTCTGAGGGGCCTGTGGGAGACAGAACCATGCAGCGAGCACATGGTTCCAAGTCAGGCTTACAATCCCTGTTGAATGTCATATTGGAGCAGGCGCACCTGTCACGAAACAGTGCCCCTGCAGGTTTGGGGCCTGGGCAGTGGGTTGTGTGAGTTGGGGTGGGTGAACTCCTTCCTTGGTTTCCCCTAATCTGATTCATGAGAAGGGTGCGGCTCCATCATAAACAGCCTCAGGCAAACGACTTCTAACCCCCGGGACACAGTTCTTGACAGTGGTTCAGCTTGGCCCCTGCTATGAGCCATCCTCTCTATCTCTCTCTCCCCCAAGTCAACAGGAACAGGAAGTAGAGACCGCGCTGCGCAGGAAGTTCACCCTCACAGACAAGAATGACTTTTCAGCCATTTCTGCTGTCCAGAAGGTGGGTGGGCTCAGTCGCTTCTTGCTCCTCCCAGACCTGCAGAGGGAACAGTGTCTTGCATTCAACCAGAGCAAGGATTATGCAGAGAAAGGTGACAGCCAAAAGGGCACGGCCGAATTGAAAATGCCTTTCACAAAGTAGAGATGTAGCTAATAATCAATAAGGTCAATTCCTCGAGTTAGGTTGGTACCAAGCCTTAACATTCTCAGAAGGGGCCACCAGGACTGATGAGGGAGTTGATGTGGAAGGTGGACATTTGGTAGGGTGGACCTGGGACAGCTCTGCTGGGGACAGCCTGAAGCAGCAACCAGCTGGCGTATAGGGCAAGCATGCCCACTTGAAGCCTTGGGCCACTTGTCCCCCGAGGGACCCAAGCCCTTAACCTAACCCATGACCCTCCGGCTGGCCTCCCCAGGCAGGGCTCGTGGATGTTGATGGCAGCCAAGCAGGTGAGCCTGATGAACAAGCCTTTGGAATTGGTGTTGCCCCTTCCTCTAGCAAACCTGGGAAGAAATCCAAGGCCAAGAAGACATTCAAAGTGCCGCCCAGGTGAGAGACCTTGCCACTCTGCCTGCTTGGTGCCGGGCTCTCCTCTGTGAGTGAGAAGGAGTTGGGAACTGCACCCCACCTGCCCGCCCTGGTGTCTTAGCTACCGAGTCATCACAACAGACATCACTGCTGCCAACCTGAGCCCAGGCCAGGGCCACTTTAGAACCAGCCATGGCACAAGGGTCGCCTCTTGTCCACACAGCCTGAGGCTTAGAGAGGGGGAAGCCATTCCCTAAAGTCACACCACAAATGAGCAGTAATGAGTGCAGTTTTCACAGGCTGTAGGGACTGTACCTGTTCCTCCCACGTCTCCTACTATTACTGCTCAGGCCTCCTTGTTCTGATTAAAGAAAGTGTGTGTGTGGCTCATGGTCACAGTCCTTGACCTAGGTAGATGAGCAAGATGGAGGAGCTGAGTGGGATGGGTTCCCATGTAGTGATGCCTGAGAAAAGTCACCCACAACCACTGCCCATGACTGAGCCCTGGGACCTCCCTGTCTCCTCCCAGATCCGCAGCAAAAAAGAAAGGAGCCAGCAGCCCTGTGAGTAGTAGAGACCTGGATTTGCCTTCCTCCTCCAAGACCCAGCTGGTCACAGGAGATGTCAAAGACTTGCTTTTGCAAGACCACGAGACCTCCAGCACAGAGCGCCTCCCCTCAGACTCCCCCAAGGAGGAATCACGCCCACCCAGGTAACTACCCAACATCAGATCCTACACCCATCACCTGGAAGCAGAGTGAGTCTCAGCATGTCAAGAGTGGCTGTGAGTGGGTGGCTCACTTGGTTAATTCTCCACCTGCGGCACCAGCATCCCATATGGGCACTGGGTTCTAGTCCTGATTGCTCCTCTTCCAATCCAGTTCTCTGCTGTGGCCCAGGAGGGTAGTGGAGGATGGCCCAAGTGCTTGGGCCTCTGCACCCGCATGGGAGACCATAAGGAAGCACCTGGCTCCTGGCTTTGGATCGGCGTAGCTCCAGCCATGGTGGCCATTTGGGGGGTGAACCAGCAGAAGGAAGACCTTTCTCTCTGTCTCACTCTCTCACTGTCTAACTCTATCTGTCAAATAAAAAAAGAAAGAAAGAAAATAGGGGGTGATGGGCAGTGACGAGGAGCACAGTTTGACAGGCAAAAACAGGAGGACACATACACATGCTAATCACTGTCACTTCAGCAGCCACCTAAGACTCACCATTAAACGGGGGATCATTCTAGAACCTCCAGATGGCAGTTATTTAAATAAGGAAGTATCTGTCTTAGGCGTAAGTAATGTGTTTGCAAAGGCATGAGAGCACTTGAGGTCTGCAAGAATGTGACTCTCCCTTCCTCCCACCATTCGGTCCCCTCCCTGAGGAAGCAGTGAGTGGGCAAGGCTTATGCAAAAAGGCAGTCATTGAATCATTTTAAAAAGCAGGAAATGGTTTTTTTTTATTTGTCTTGTTGTGTTTTGTTTTGAAAACATCTGCAAGGCCAACATAAGAGCAAGGGCACTAAGTGAACTACTTCTCTGCCCTGGGCTCATGCAAAGATACTTGTGCAGAATTCCCCCCACCCCAGCCCAGAGATAGTTGCAGACATGCAGAGAGCGTGAATGGATGGCGCAGTGAGCACGCCTGCACCGAGCACCCTCTCAGTTCGACGTGTCCTTTGTTACTGTTCTTGCTGCATCCTGTGTCTATCCCGCCACCTTGCTCTGGTGCATTTCAGTGTAAGTTGCAGCATCAGTCCACTTCCCCCTTGCCAACACTTCACCCAATGGCTCATTAACTGCCATTCTCAAGTTTTTACTAGCATGAGAGAATGCCTCTGTGGGAAAAAGTAAGATAGAAAACCTTATATTTATGTGTGTGTGCGCGCGCGTGTGTGTGTGTGTGTGTGTGTGTATATATATATACACATGTATTTAGTTGTTTACTTGAAAGAGTCCACCCTACCAAAGAGTGTGGATGGGGGAAGAGAGAGAGAGAGGGAGAAAGATTTTTGATCTGCCAGTTCACTCCTCAAATGGTTGCAACAGCTGAGACTGGGCTAGCACAAAGCCGGGAGCCCGGAGCTTCTTCCAGGTCTCCCACGTGGTTGCAGGGGCCCAAGCACTTGGGCCATCTTCTGTTTTCCCAGGCCATTAGCAGGGAGCTGGATCAGAATTGAAGCAGCCAGGTCTCGAACCAGCACCCTTATGGGATGCCGGCATTCCAGGCAGATTTAACTGGCTCTACTACAACACTGGCCCCATAAAACCTTATATACTGCTCGGTCTCAAGCATTTAAAAAATACATCAGGGGCCGGCACTGTGGCGCAGCAGGTTAAGGTTCCTGGCCTGAAGTGCCAGCATCCCATATGGGCGCCGGTTCTAGTCCGGCTGCTCCTCTTCCAATCCAGCTCTCTGCTATGGCCTGAGATGGCAGTGGAGGATGGCCCAAGTCCTTGGGCCCCTGCACCCACATGGGAGACCCAGAGGAAGCTCCTGGTTCCTGGCTTAGGATTAGCTCAGCTCTGACCATTGCGGCCAATTGGGGAGTGAACCAGCGGATGAAAGACCTCTCTCTCTGTCTCTACCTCTCCCTGTATCTCTGTTTTTCAAACAAATAAAAATTTTTAAAAATTTAAAAAATTAAAAATACATCAAAGACATTCTATAAGGAGCTGCACCAAAGTTGGGTGCTGGCAGGGAGTGAGTGGTTTTTGTCTTACTTCCTTTTTCTCATCCCTGCTTTCTTTCTTTTTTTTAAGATTTATTTTATTTATTTGAAAGAGTTAGAGAGAGGTAGAGCCAGAGATAGAGAAAGGTCTTCCATCTGCTGGTTCACTCCCAAAATGACCACAACAGCCAGAGCTGAGCTGATCGGCAGCCAGGAGCCAGGAGCTTCTTCTGGGTGTCCTACGCAGGTGCAAGGCCATCTTCTACTGCTTTCCCAGGCCATAGCAAAGAGATGGATCAGAAGTGGAGCAGCTAGGACTTGAACCGGCGCTCATGTGGGATGCTGGCCCTGCAGGCTGGGGCTTTAACCCACCACGCCACAGTGCCAGCCCTCATCCTTGCTTTCATCATTTCCTGCACTGGGCACATGCCCTTGTGTACCAAGTAACACAGGGATGAAGGAATGAGCACTACGCAGCTCAGCTCCTGTTGGGGGTGTATGGTGGTGAGGGCTTCTGCCTCCTGCCCACAGAAGCCCCAGGGGAAGAAAGATCGAGGGTCTGGCTGCTCCAGTTCTCTATCCTCCTTGGCCTCCCCCCGTGTCTCCAGACCCAGCACCCCACCTTCCAAGGCCGTGGCCTTTGAAGAGTTTAAGAAAGAGCAAGGGAGTGTGATCAACCGCATCTTCAAAGAAAACAAATCCATCTTGAACGAGCGGAGCAGGAGAGCCAGCGAGATCACACAGCGCATCAATGCCATCAAGCGGGAGATTGACGAGACCAAGGAGGCCCTCGATTTCCAGAAGTCACTAGGGGAGAAGCAAGGTATATGGGCGGGAAGACAGCCAGGAGCTGTGGGGTCTAGGGTCTTTGGGCTCCACGTGGGGCAGCTTTGGGCCCCAGAGCACTGAGATGGCAAGGGTCTGCAGGGTGCCTAGGAGGTGGCCTTCTCCCCTGGTGTCCTTTCATGGGGCCCAAGAGTCCCACACTGTCAGTCAGCCCCTGCCTTGTCTCAGACCTGTGCTGCTGTCCGTGGAGAACCAGGGCCTTGGCCCTGCAGTGGTGTCCCCAGGAGACAGGTAGCTGGTGACCCATACACGCTCCCTGAGTCCTGCTGTGGTCTCACTGCCCAGGGTCATCATATTGGGGTGGGGGGTGCCAGGAGGGACCGTGGGAAATGAGCATGTGGATACCAGAAGGCCAAGGGACTCATTGTCGATCAGACCATGTCCCAAGCCGAGCCCCTGACACCTGTGCAGGCCTGGCAGTGTCGTCTCCCAGGTCAGATGGGTAGAGGGGCCCTGAACTTGAAGAGCTGGGACCCCTGTGGGAAGAGGATGCTCATCTGGTTACCCTGGCCTGCTGCCCTATGCCAGTGGCACACGCTGCCCACACCTGCCCTGTGGGCCAGTCATCATCAGGCTCTGTGTGCAGAGGACTCGTCTGGGAGGGCTGCTCAGCTGTAGATGCAAGGCCCCTGGCAGTGGTTCTGTTCAGGAGATAGGAGTAGGGCCCAGGGCTGGCACTTCAGTGAGCAGCCATCCCAACCCGGAGGCAGGAGAGTCAGAGCACACACTGTTCCTCCTGTCCCTGGTGCCATCTCACTGTCTTCTCCCTGATGGGGCCCCTGCAGACTGCTGGGCTGCCCTCGTGAACTCCTGCCCTGTCGCCAGCCAGAGGAGGCGGAGTCCCGTGGTCTATTCCTACAGGCAGGATGGCTCATCTCATTCACGGGGGTGATTTCCTCTTTACTTCTCAGAGGACAACTTTAGTTCAGATTCTTGGGACCCTCCTGCTCATACGTGACAGTCTGTGGCCTTCTGCTCACACATGACAGCCTATGACATTCTGCTCACACATGATAGTCTGTGGCCTTCTCACACATGACTGTGATATTCTGCTCACACATGACAGCCTATGACATTCTAGTCACATGAGACAGACTGTGACACTCCCTTCCAAGACACAGCCATCCAAGGTCCTGGGAAACGAGAGAGGGCAGTGATGTGGCTCCAGACATCACCCACGTGACCCAGAACCTGCGGGGTGGGGGGTGGACATGGTGACCCACAAGCTCGTCTTTGTCCCCCCTGTCCACACCTTCTTTGAGCGTATGGTCCTTCATTACATATTCTTTTTAGATTTCATGTATTTGCTTGAGAGCAAGAGTTACAGACAGAGGGAGAGACCTTCCACTGGTTCACTTTCCAAATGGCCACCAATGGCCAGAGCCAAAGTCAGGAGCCAGGAGCTTCTAACAGGTCTCCCACATGGTACAGGGGCCCAAGCACCTGGGCCATCCTCCACAGCTTTCCCAGACCATAGCAGAGAGCTGAATCAGAAGAGGAGAAGCCAGGACATGAACCAGCGCCCATATGGGATGCTCGTGCCACAGGAGAAGGGCTGGCCCTTCTTTATTACATATTTAAAGTCAAATACACTCACTGGGTGCTGACAAATCATTTACTCCTAAATACACCTGAAAATGGACGTTTTCAAAGGATGAGATGAAGAAATAAACAATGGCTTTCAACATTTAAAATTTTATGTGTCTCCCCCAAAACTCCATTTTTGCTCTTTCTCCCCCAAAGTAGTGCTTTTCCATTGCTTATTATAATACCAAGTAAAATGTCTTTATTTTGAGGGAATAGATCAAGTCAATTAATTTGTTTTCAAATACCTGCCAGATACCTTAGGATTGACAGCCGCTTGTCAACACAGAAAGGTCAGCATACTTAGAACATTTTGTAAAGAAAAATGCAAAAACCATTTGTAGGTTCAGCCTTTTTCTTTTTCTCCTGCATGTCCTCAGCGAGCCCTTGGGTGGTAGCAAAGGAGCCACAGCCGCTGCCCTGTGCTCTGGGAGGGGTCTGTGCTCACTCCACGTTGAAGCTGAGGGACCTGGTGAGGGGGACCCTGGAGCCCCCACCCACCCCAGAGCCAGAGCCAATAATGGAGCCAGTGACATTTAACACATCTTCGGTTTCCCTGTGAGCATCAGTGGAAGCACCGGTGCTTTCCACCAGCACCTGGGGACTGCCTCGTGTGCCTGCTCACTCCTCAGGCCACAGGCAGAACGTGCTTGCCCCGCACCTGGGGAGGGGCTGATGTGACACCTTTTATAAGCTTTCAGGTGCTGTGGACACCGTACAGCCAGGTGAATGTCTCAGAGACCACATTGTTCTGTTTTAACCCAATGGCTCTTACCAGCCTGAGACCCTAAGAGGTCTCTGACGGCCACCTGACCCGACACAGACGCCCACTTGTCTCTAGCAAGGAAGGAACTGGGGACACTGAAATCAGCAGAGACCATTTGAATGGTGGACTTGCATCCACTGTTATTTTGAAGGAGCCTTGCCCAAGGGCCTGCGGGGCCAGCCGGGGATGGCAGCTCGTGTAGATAACTGACAAGAGAAATCGGGGTACTGGCTAAATACCTTTTGGCTGATGAGACTGAAGATCAAAATAAGCATGGCTTATGGGACCTCTTTAAACTCTCCTCCGCCCACCCCTCCTGTTTGTCCCAAAGTGCCAGTGTGGCCCCGCTGCCCTGAGCTGCCAGAGCCGTAGGACTGCCCTGGTGGCCTTGGCTGGCCTGCGCCTTGCCCGCCTCCTTGCCACCCCACAGCCTGCGTCCAGCCGCCTGTCCTCCTGACTCGCCAGCACCGGGCCCTCTTTCTGGAGGGCTTTCCTTCTCCGACTCCTGGGGGATGCCACTTCCTCTCCTGACCCCTCCGTCTCCCCGCAGGCGAGTACGAGGCCAAAGGCTTGTTGGTGGTGGACGAGGAGGAGTTCCAGCTGATCCTGAAGCTCAAAGACCTCAAGAAGCAGTACCGCGGCGAGTACAAGGACCTGCTCGACCTGCGGGCTGAGATCCAGTACTGCCGGCGCCTGGTGGACCAGTGTCGCCACCGCCTGCTCATGGGTGCGCCCGCTGGGGAGGGCAAGGCACAGCCCCTGTGTTCTGGAAGCGCCCTCAGAACTTCTCTGTGGCAGAGGCGTGGGCTGGGCAAGGGCTCCAGATGCATGGTTTGCAGAACTGTGAGTGCCAGGGCCGGGGCAAGGGTGAGAAGTAAACAAGGCTACCAGACAGATGGGCATATGCCACCTTCACCTGCGTCCTCACGGCGCTGTCTCCCTGGCTCTTTGCAGAATTTGACATCTGGTACAACGAGTCCTTTGTCATCCCTGAGGACGTGCAGATGGCGCTGAAGCCGGGTGGCAGCATCCGGCCGGGCATGGTGCCCTCCAGCAGGATCGCGTCTCTGGTGAGCGCCATGGGTGGCGGTATTGCCCCCCAGTCCTCTGTCGTGTCCAGGACCAGGGCCTCATGTGAGGTGCTCCCAGCCTCTCCCACAGCTGCCCAGACAGGTCAAGGGAGGGGGACACAGACAAGAGCCACCCATGTGTCTCCATGAGAATGCTGAGAAACAAGGGCTGGGAGAATGTGAGATGTCCCAGCGAGGGACTGCCCTCATGGCCACCATGGGCCCTGCCAGGGTGGCTCCTGACTCGGTGCTACGTGGGTCCTCTCCCAGGGAGAAGATGACCTGGACAAGTTCAGCCAGCTGCAGCAGACAGTGCTGCCCGAGGGCCCCGATTCCATCTCCTTCTACAACGCCAAAGTCAAGACAGAACAGAAGGTAACTCGAGAGTGTGGAGCCTTGGGGCCTCATCAGCAAGGACACCCAGGGTCATGCTCCTTGCTTTGGAGCTGAAGCCAGCCCAGGCAGATCCACAGTCACCCGCTGTGACTGGAGGGGTCTCAGACCATGGTCAAGCCTAGCCATGGCTGATGAGTGATCCATGTGTGGGTCACAGCCCAAGATTTAGGGAGCCCCAGAGTCCTCTGCCTGTAAAGGGGTGGGGGACTCTTTAACAGGACCACCCTGCACAGGTGGCCAGGGACAGAGGACCACAGGCAGCTAAGGCAGAGCTGGCACTGTCCTCCCTGCGCTCTGCCAAGACCCAGCCTGCAGTCAGAAGGCATCCCCTGGACCCAAGGGCTGTTCTTAGACAGCAGGTGGCAGATGCACATGGGATAACCACTTACTCAGTGAGCTCATTCTTTCAAAAATATGTTTGTAATTATGTGTTTAACATTTTTGAATAGGTGATGCAGTAGGCTGACTTGAATGTTAAGCCTGACATGAGGTTGATGTTTAGCCTAGTGGTTAAGATGCTGGGTGAGATGCTCTTGTCCCATATATGAGTGCGTAGATTCAGTGCCTGGCTCTGGCTCCTGGCTCCAGTCATTTTTCTGTTACTTATAGCGATTTTTTACCATGTTTGTTTTTAATGAAATCAAGTATCTTAGTCCATTCAGGCTGCCATAACAAAATATCTTACACTGAATAATTTACAAACAACAGTTTATTGTTCACAGTTCTGCAGGTGGAAATGACAGCTCTGGCTGTGTCCTTATCTGGAAGAAGGGTAAATCACCCTTAGTAAAAGGCCACTAATCCCATCCCTTGAGGGATCTTCCCTCTCAGCCTAATCACTGCCAAAGTTCCCACCTCTTACTACCATCACTATGGGGTTAGATTTCAATGTGTGAATTTTGGCGAGATCCTAATATTCAAACCTTAGCAGGAATTCATCAGACTTTTCTTTCTCAGCTTCTAGATTCTTTGTGATGCTATAAAGCCCTTTTCCCAACTGAGTGCATTCTTTACATTCAGCTGATGTCTTGACAAGTGTGTATTTCAGTCATGTGCTCATATTTGGTTGAACTTAAGCTCTAAGAGTCCTGAGCGCATAAGTTAAATTGCTTACCTCCTGAAAGGGTTACCTAGCACTTGCTTTTTGCAAGTAGCCCTGGGACATTACCAACCCAGGACCAAGAGTTTTAGCTAGTGTGGAGCTTCAGGCTCATTCCCCTGCTTGTGAAGAATCTAGGATTCAGCTCCGTATTCCAGGTTTTAGCCTTTGCATGCTCACTGCCCACTCTATTTCAGATGACATTCACCACTTGCTTTCTAAGAACGTAGCCATGCATTGAAGGTATGCATTCACAGGATGTGTGAACATTTCATTGACTGAGGTTGTAGGAGGGTCTCAGTCCTCTGGAGAGAGAGCCCTCTTCTCTTCTTCTTGAACCTGTTTGCTGTCAATAACTTTTTTTAAAGATTTATTTTATTTTATTTGAAAGAGTTACAGAGAGAGGTAGAGACAGAGAGAGAGAGAGATCTTCCATCCGCTGGTTCACTCCCCACATGGCTGCAATGACCAGAGTTGCGCCGATCCAAAGCCAGGAGCCAGGGTCTGGGTCTCCCATGTGGGTGCAGTGGCCCAAGGATTTTGGCCATCTTGTACTGCTATCCCAGGCCATAGCAGAGAGCTGGATCAGAAGAGGAGCAGCCGGGACTAGAACCAGTGCCCATGTGGGATGCCGGCGCTTCAGGCCAGGGCTTTAACCCACTGTGCCACAGTGCAGGCCCCATCCTGTCAATAACTTTTAACATGCATGCCTCCTGTTAAACATGACTGCCAAACCATTTTAAAACAATGCCACATACTTATTTTTAGGATGAAATAATGAAAAGGTGTGAATAGCATGTTATTTCTCAGAGAATTGGGCCTATTCACAGCAAATGCTGGTACAGAAACTGTTGTTTGCAGAAAGCATGATGGGCTGAGTGTCAGTGGCTTCTCTGTGTGTTGGAAAAACCAAAGCCTCTTTGCTTTACTCTCACACTGCAACAATCTGTGACCTCAGAAGATGTGGGGTCTTATCCCCGTCGGTGAGCAAACAGTTCTGTAGCCAAGCTCACCAGTTGGGCATCCCCTAATTCAACTCAACTCACCAGGCACTAGGTAGTACTGACCAGGTGCTATTTACCTGGAGAGAGTGTCAGATCTTACAGGTTGGGGGCTCAGACCCCAAGACTGTCCCACCCACCAACTTTAGCTGCCAGTCACATGCTCCAGGTAGCCTTACCTGTGTTTCCCATGACCCCCTCATTAGGGTCACCTAATCTGCTCAAGCAGCTCACAGAACTCAGAGAAACACACTCACCGATTTGTTATAAAGGCTGTAACAAAGATACAGACGAGAAGATACTTGGGGTGAGGTGTACCCTTTCTGGGGTGCCACACTCCAGTTCCCTCCGCACGTTTTGCCATCCCACAGCCGTCTGAGCCCTGCTCTTCTGGGTTTTTTGGGAGACCTCACTGTGTACACGTGGCTGTTAGTACACTGGATGGAGAAGCCCAGCAAGGCCTTTCTATTCAAATTCTTCAGCACACTTTCCTCAAAGGCCTGGATCTTGTGCCCCACTATCTGAGTTTCTGTGGCCTGCTTTGGTGAGGGAGTGATGAGCCAGGAACTATGGACAACAAAAACCAAAATATCTCACAGTCGGCCAGCTTCTGAGTCCCTGTAAAGTCCTAATTCCTGTTTTCTTCCCTTTTCTGTGTCCAGCACAATTATTTGAAAACCATGATAGGCCTCCAGCGTGCACACAGAAAATAGTCTCATCAGGAGGACCTGGAAAGACAAGACCACAACTGCCATGTGCTCTCAGTCTAGCCTGTGTTGCTGCCAGACCACCTGCGCAGAGCTCCAGCCATTCTGCTCCAAGGCTGGACCCAGCCCAAAGGACACACAGTGGCCAGGCCTCTCTGGAGAGGAGCTCCACAGGACACCATCGCTCATCTCCCCAGAACATTCCTGGCTTGGATTTTCTGCCTTTTGTGCCGGACAGGATCAAAAAACGTTCCAGCTTGGACATTTAGTGCTCATCCAAGAACTTTGGTTTCCTGTTTGAGAGGACGTCTTCCCTATGTAGAGGTGGGGTGAAAACGGAGTCTTAAGTAGGAAGAGAAAAATAGTAGTTGAGCCAGGCTCCTCTGGCAGCCTCATCCCACTGGTCAGCCTCTTCCTTTCCAGGGTGGACATCCTGGGGTGGGGTGGGAGCTGTGTCTGAACAGCCCTGCTTCTCACAGCTCACTCAGACCAGAAGTTCTCCTGAGCTGCCCTCTCCATGTTTCTGAGCAAGTGAGGGCAGGAGGAAGTAACCAAGACAATCTGGTCCAGCTAACCCCAGACAGGGGTGAGGCCGAGTTGGGTCCATATGCCAGGGAAGCAGTGAGCAGCATCTAGGAGACCCCAGAGCCTTCCCCACCCAGCACGGATGTGGGCGTGGGGTTCACCTCCTCTCTCTCTTACTGTCCCTCCTCCCTTTGTCTTCCCTAATGGAGCAGATGAGCACATGGAACTGACCAGGTTGCCTTGGATAGGAGCAGGGAAGAGAGGAAATTACTCTCTAATCAGGTTCTCGGTGTGCTTGGCACGAAGGGGAAAGAGTCCACTACTTTGCTTAGAGAGCAAACTCAGGCCTTCCAGGGGCTTCCAGACTCATCCGTGTGCCCCTGTGGTGGGAAAACCAGCCTCCTGCACAGGAAAGTTTCACAGCTTCCTGGGCATCTCCCCTCACACCCACTGGAGCTCTTGTGGGTTGGGCGTTGGCCTTGTCCTCAGTGAGCACTCCCTCGTCTGCCATCCTCAGCAAGCCCTTGATGTTGCTGTGTATGGGGTCAACGGTGCGAGAGGTGGTCTGGGCCACCTGGCAACCCCATCATGGGAAGCTGTAAGAGACAAAAGTCCAGACCACATCTGGTGGGTGATGTCCACCTTTGGAGCCATTTTATAAGAGGACAGATGGGAGGAACCAGGTCTCCTCAGCTGAAGAGGAAGGAAATGTGACAGGGGCCCAGGCGGAGCTGCTAGGTAAAAGAGAAGCAGGGTGATTTGATCTGCACAGCCCCCAAAGTGGGCTGGATGAGTAGGAGCCAATGTTTTCCCAAAAAGTAGAAATGGCTGAGAGGCAGACTGGCATCCCGATATAAGAAGAGACTTGGGGCCGGCGCTGTGGCACAGCAGGTTAAAGCCCTGGCCTGAAGTGCCGGCATCCCATGTGGGTGCTGGTTCTAGTCCGGCTGCTCCACTTCCGATCCAGCTCTCTGCTATGGCCTGGGAAAGCAGTAGAAGATGGCCCAAGTCCTTGGGCCACTGCACCCACATGGGAGACCCAGAAGAAGCTCCTGGCTCCTGGCTTCGGATCAGCACAGCTCCGGCCGTTGCGGCCATATAGGAAGTAAACCAGCAGATGGAGGACCTCTCTCTCTGTCTCTACCTCTCTCTGTAACTCTGTCTTTCAAATAAATGAAATCTTTAAAAAGAAAAAAAAAAGAGACTTAACATGAGGTATAGACGGTACTGTCGTGTAGTTAGTAGCGAGAGCCCAAACAGGAGGCTGTCTGGCAGGGGGGTTGCACCCAGTGGATGGCTCAACTGGATGGTGTGTTCTGGTCAAAGAGCTCATATTCTGATTTTCAATCTAGCAGTGAGCAGATGAATGTGAGTTTTGTCAAAAAGAGTAAGCAGAAAGCCTTTCCTGGGGCCGGCACTGTGGCGTAGCAGGTAAAGCTGCCACTTGAAGTGCTGGCATCCCATATGGGCGCCAGTTCGAGTCCGGCTGCTCCGCTTCCGATCCAGCTCTCTGCTATGGCCTGGGAAAGCAGTAGAAGATGGCCCAAGTCCTTGGGCCCCTGCACCCACATGGGAGACCCAGAAGAAGCTCCTGGCTCCTGGCTTCAGATTGGCACAGCTCCGGCCGTTGCGGCCAATTGGGGAGTGAACCAGCAGATGGAAGACCTCTCTCTCTCTCTCTGCCTCTCCTTCTCTGTATAACTCTGACTTTCAGATTAAATAAATAAATCTTTTAAGAATATGGAAAGTCTTTCCTTGAAGTCTGTGCCCTCTCCTCTGTCCAGCCCTTTTCTCTTTCTCTGACTGGAAGACAATGGCCCTGAAACTCTGCGGGAATCCTAGTGGAGGCCTTAGGTGTAGAGTTCCGAGTCCTTCCCTTCTTGGCTGCTGCTACCCTTTGAGAAAGCTTGTTTGAGGTTTTTAGGTCTTTGGGGCTTCCTATAGGGCATAGCAAACAGGAGGTACATCTATCTATTGGGGCCACAGGAAGCAGCTATTTGTGGTATCCCAAATCCCTCTCCCCTTCAGTTTCCATCACTGGCTGGAATGGCACGGCCCTGCTGGATGCCCTGACCACAGGAACTCTTAGCCAGCCAGTCTGGGACAAGCTTGCCCCTTTAATGGCAGTTGGTCATGGGTGTTGTCACACTTGCCTCAGGTTCAGGCCTCTTTGGTCAAGTTGGGCACAAACTGAAACAAGTGATCAGCAGAGTAGGCGAAGTCAAAGGAGTAAAGGAGGCTGGAACTCAATGATTCACCTTCCACATAAGCTCCTTGCAGGAGCAAATACAGGAGCGAAGGGGCCTCATGCCCTCTCAAGTGGGCCTGTCATCCTGGCAAACAGTCCTGTCGAATTCACCTGACCATCCAAATCTCCCTGAAAGGACATCCACTTCCGTCGGTGTGACAAGTGAGATCATGTGGAACCATTCCTTCTACAAGCAAGAGATGCTGCCCAAGTATAACATCCTCTCAAATGCAAAATTCAATTTGCAATAAATAGAAGGAACTGCCAAGAACTGGAGACAAAGGAGGAAGTGAAAACCAGAGTTGACAGGATGTAAAATGGCGTGACTTCCAGGGACTGCGAGATGGTATGGGAGTAGATTGTTCTCTTGAGTGTTGATATCCACACAAGCATGAGAACGACGACAGGCCCAGGCCAGAGAGGAAGTTGGAAATGGGACTGTCATAAAGATGGCACCCTGAGTGGCCAGCATTGTGGTATAAAGGGTTAAGCCACCGCCTGCACCACTGGCATACCATATGGGTGCCAGTTCCAGGCCTGGCTGCTCCACTTCTAATCTAGCTCCCTGCTAATGCACCTGGGAAAGCAGCAAAAGATGGCCCCAAGTGCTTGGGCCCCTGCACCCATGTGGGAAATCCAGATTAGGCTCCTGGCTCTTGGCTTTGGCCTGGCCCAGCCTTGGCCATTATGGCCATTTGGGGAGTGAACCAGTGGATAGATCTCTCTGTCTCTTCTTCTAACTCTGCCTTTTAAATAAAGAACTCTTTTTTTTTTTTTTTAATGTGGCACCCTGAAATCCTCATCTTTGGTGAAGAGGTAAGCTTAAAAAAAAACACTCCATTTTCAGGGAGAAATAATAAGGAAACTTTCCCAGGGCTGAGGGGGGAACAGGGCCCATGAGAATTTACAGCTTTGTGCAAGTTGGGGGTTCAAATTTGCACTGTGTAACCCAGGAACCAGCAAGCTGAAGAATTAGCATAAAATTTAGCCCCAAGCTGGCTTTTTCTGGTGGTGACAACCAACCCACGCAAACATGCCTCTCGCAAAGGATCTCCTGCATCCCTCTCCTGAAGAGGAGAAGAGGAAACACAAGAAGAAGCGCCTGGTGCAGAGCCCCAATTCCTACTTCATGAACTTCAAGTGCCCAGGATGCTATAAAATCACCACGGTTTTCAGCCATGCACAAACGGTAGTTTTGTGCGTTGGCTGCTCCACTGTCCTCTGCCAGCCCACAGGAGGAAAAGCAAGGCTTACAGAAGGATGTTCCTTCAGGAGGAAGCAGCACTGAAAGCACCCTGAACCAAGATGAGTGGGAAACCTTCCCAGTAAACACGTTTTTGATATTTAAAAAAAAAAAAAATTAGCCCCAAGCTGGTGGTGATCCAGAAACACTCAGTAGAATCTAACTTAAAAATCTATAGGAGGGGGCTGACGCCATAGCGTAGCAGGTAAAGCTACCGCCTGCAGTTCTGGCATCCCGTGTGGGTGCTGGTTCAAGTCCCAGCTGCTCCACTTCTGATCCAGCTCTCTGCTATGGCCTGGGAAAGCAGTAGAAGATGGCCCAAGTGCTTTAGGCTCTGCACCCACGTGGGAGACCCAGAAGAAGCTCCTGGCTCCTGGCTCCGGATAGGTTCAGCTCCAGCTGCTGCAGCCATCTGGGGAGTGAACCAGCAGATGGAAGACCTCTCTCTCTCACTGCCTCTGCCTCTCTGCAACTCTGCCTCTCAAATAAATCTTTAAAAAAAATCTACTTAACATGCCCTTTATCCAGCCGTACAGTACACCCACAAAGCCCCACTAAGCATAAGTTCCAGAGATTACACACACACACACACACACACTAAACATACCATAGTGGAGGCAAAATGACAGGCTCAGACAAGAACTTCAGATGTTGTTGGATAAAAATTACATAATACTATTATGTATGTATGTGTGCTATGTATATATATACATATATACATATGTGTGTATATAAAAATGTTTTAAATAGACAAAGAATCAAAACGCTATAATCCAAAAGTTGTACTTTTGAAATTTATATTAAATAAAAGTTTTCTAAAAATAAATAAATGACAAAGAACCAAAAAATGAAAAAGACTATCAAAGTGTCAAAGGCTAAACTTGAAAATTTTCACAAGAAAATATGATAGTCTTTTTTTACCTTGAAAGTGTTTAAATGACTTCAAAAAGTATTAACCATAAGAGGAAAGACTTCAAAATTTGACTAAGAACTTCTGCCCATCAAGACACCATGAAATCAAAAGGTATAAGTGAGCAAAGATATTTGCAATTGTTAGTGAATGGTTAAGTGGACTGTGGCACATCCAGAGTCTGCAATATTTTTTAGCCTTGGAAAGAGCTAACAAGCCATGAAAAGATAGGGAGGAGCCTTAAATGGGTATCAGTAAGCAAAAGAACTTACATGTGGAGAGTAACTTCTTTTACTCAAAGTCATTCTGGACTGAATGGATTTTTGAGGGAAGAAAACTATGCTTGTGGGTAAGGGCAACAAGGTGGATGGGCCACAGGCTGGAATTTAACATGCATCCAAACTGGTTCTTACTGCTCTCTAAAATTTGAGAATGACTGGACCAGAATATGAATAACTATTTCCTCCTGGAAACAGGTGTGGGACAAGCAGCTTGAATCAGAATAAATGATCCCTTTCAAATGAGAGTAGGTGAAAAGACCAAGTTGAAGACTATAATTGCCCGGAACTATAGGGCATATTCTTCTTAAATGTTTCCTAGTGTGTTGGCAATAGTCTGTTCTACTTCCAGCATCAACTGGTGGTGTGAATGCGTGGCATCTTAGCACCTTTCTGAATCTGTTTCTCAATCTCTGAAAATGTGGCAGAGTTGCACCACCTATATGAGTAGACAGTTGAGAAAGCTCCTGGTTTACCTGAAGTATTCGGCCCAGATCTGCTGACCGATCACGTGCTCTAAGAGCTCAATTCTCAGATGATTTCCGTGTCTTCAGTCACCCCCTACATGATCTCATCCTGGCCTGGACAGTGGCAACTTCCAAGTGTATATCATCAGATGAGGTTTTTCCCCCCTAAACTCCAGACTCCTATGCCGTTGGAGGTTCCTCTTGGAAACTATTGATTCCCTCTCCCTGAAGCTGTTCCTCCTTGAGGCTACTCCATTCCCAATAAACAAGTTACTTGCTCGGAACAATAACCACGGGGCCATCCTCAGCCAACATTCAGTCCGTTAGTAAATCATGCTGGCCACGCCTTCGAAACAAACGCAGAACCATTTCTCGCCGCCCCCATCACTTCTCACCGGGGATGCCGCAACAGCCCCTTAACCTCCCTGCGTCCACCCTTGCCCACCTGCAGGTGGGAAACCAGTGCAACCTTAAACATGCAAGTCATGAGCTGAAACTGTCTCACAAGGTTTACGTTAGACCAAGGTCCGAGAGCAAGGAATGCGCAGGAGCGTCGTGGCTCCCTGTGTCATAACCAGCAAATCTTTGCAGCTGCGGCACGGGTCGGTGGGCGGGGAGTTGGAGCCCGCGTCGTCAGAGCAGCCCGCCGCCCTCACCGCAGCCTCCGGCGTCCTAAACCTTCCCTGTCATCCGTCAAGGTCTCGGCACAGCCTCCCTCCCTCCCCTCGCTGCTACGTTCTGTATTCACTTAGGCCCTTCGGGGCAGGGAGGCCATTTTCTGCACCGACGGCTGGCCCTGGCTTCGAGGCGGGAAGATGCGAGTCTGTGGAAGGAACGGCGACGGCGACGACCGCTCCGCTAGGCAGGGCCAGCTGGGGATGTGGTTTCCGAGGGTCTCGATCGGCGGCGGGCAGCCCGGCGGTGCGCTTCTGGGTCTCTCACCCACAGCTAACCGAGCCCCTGCCCCAGGCTCCGCCCCTCCTCTCATTGGCTGACGTTTCCCAGCCCTCCTGTCCTCCCAGCCAATTGTAGGGCAAAGTCTGAGTGGGAGGCGGGACCCGGAGCGCCGGCGGATCCCGCAGGGATTCCGAGGGGGCGGGAGGACTCCGGCCCGGGGGGCACAGAGATGAGGAAACCTCCCGGTGCCTAGAAGGGCCGGAGGGTCTGGGTGGGGAGTAGGGGGTGTCGCTGACGCAGTTCCTTGTCCGCTTGGTTCCGAGAGAGGGGGCTGGCGCTTTGGGTGAGGGGTGCACCGCTCTCTGGAGCCGGGGGCTCGGGCTAGGTCCAGGGAGCGGGGCCGGGGCCGGGCCGGGAACAAGGCCTCCCACGCGGACGCCGGCTGCTGAGGCGGGCGCGGCAGTTCAGGGGCTTTTGTTCTCGTTCCGCGCCACCTCTTTGTCCTGGCTGTGGGCTCCGGGCTCCGGAGCCGCCCGCTCGGACCGGGCTGTGTCCTCAGTGCCTCTAGGCTGGGGGGCCGCCGGCCGGACTCTGGCCTCCTCGAAGCTTGGCCCGGCGGCCGGAGAGAAGCGCAGACCCTCGGGCCCGGGGCTTCCTCGTCAGTTCCTTTATGCATTCGGTCAGGGATGCGCGAGGCAGAAGCGCGTCCCGGCGGGGAGGAAGCAGCGAGCCCGAAGCCTGAGTTCCTGGAGGGGGAAGACACAACACACGTTTGCAGGGAGGCCTGGCAATGCTAAGCGGGTCGCCGGAATAAAACATCCTTCCAGCGGCCCGTAGAAGTCTTAGGTCTTTCTAAAGGCCCTCGACGCTGCCCAGTTCCAAGCTGGACCCCCGTGTGCGGTCTTGCACAGAACTTCCCAGGAAGCGTGCACTTTGCACATTTTGAGGGGAGTGGAGGCTCTCAGATGTCAGCCGAATAGGGTGGAAGGGAGTGATCGTGGCGCCGGGGCCTGAGGACTGCCTCCCTACAGGAAGCTGGTCACTCACTCAGCCAGGGGCATTGGGCCCGTTAGTCCATCGCTGGGAGCCTCACGTCCTTGTCTTTAAAATGAGCATGATCATCCTTACTGCTCTCAGTTCCGTTTTGCAGATTTCCCCAGGATGGGACACTGCCCTGAGTGTCCACTGGGGTTGAGGTCTTAGAAGACGCTGTCCTTTCCCTCTGCTTACAGTGATTGGAGACCCCATTAGGAGGAGACCAGGCAAAAAATCTGTTCTGGGCAGATCCTTGGGAGTGAAGCTGCTGTGCACAGAGTGAGGGTGAGTCCCTTCCTTCTGCCCTGGGCAGGTGGAACCCAGACTGTGGCACAGGAATCCTGCCCGCTAAGGGATGTGGGGCCCAGGGTTGAAAGGGAGCATTTCTTGATGGTTAATAGACGGGGAGAAAAAAGTGTGGAAGTGATAGGAGGGCCTCTGGGTTTGTGGGGTGGAAGGAGGGGTGATGTAGCAGTAACTCAAATTTGATGGTCATGGGACTTGGATTGATTGCCAGCTCTCCTGTAAGTTCTGTGCATTTGAGAGTAGGTGGTCTGAGAGGTCCCTTCCAGCTGTGATATTCAAAGAGCCTCTGAACAGTGGGCCTGGGTCAGTCTCTTAGGAAACTGAGGCCCTTGGATGTCCTCACCGAGTCAGAATCGCCAGGAGTGCATGTCCACTGTTGTGGTATTTGTCAGATAATACGAAACACAAAGAGGATGACCAGGCAGAGGAGTGGTGGGGGTGGTGATGTGCAGAAGATTCACCATCCCCAATGGGGAGCACTCTGGATGTTAGATACAATCCTGAACTTGTTTGGTACATTTCAAGTCGCCTAACATTTGCTGTCCCCTCTTTGTGCCAGACACAGTGCAGTATCCACAGGTCAGGATCATGGGCCCTGCTTCCCGGGAGCTTAGAGCTTAACGTGTACATGTGAGAAGGGACACAGCAATCCTAGTGCAAGGCCAGCTCCACAGATTTGCTGTGTGATTTTTGGGGGGTAAAGAGGCTGTTGTATTTATAGTCAGTTACAATCAGCTTTTCCCATTATGGCATCTCCCTTGTTTTATTCTTAAGGCCTATGCCTTTCTCTCTCTCAAAGTAGGCAGTCCCTTGCTATTTTCTTGTTGTTGTTTTTTTTTTTTTTTCTCCCTTCACTTCCCACATTTCACTCATTTGTCTCTCCAATTTATTTTCAGGTATTTCCTGTTTATCCTCACTCCACTGCAGTAACCAAGAACCATGTGGCCATTACTCAGAGAGACCTGAACAAGCCGGTGATATCGGCAGAGGACAGGAACACGGCCTCTCGGGGTAAAGCCGCTCTGTCTCTTTATCGCTCTCTGCTCGCTCTGGTGCAGGCGCTGTCCTCTCCACCCCCACCCCTACCACCGCTCTTTCTGGGAGAGCACTCTGCCCTTTGTGTCTCACAGCCTGAAGTGGACGGGCCTGGGATCCGAAGAGCCTGGGCGATTTGTGGGTTGGTGATCTGCGTCCTCATTCAATTACTGACCATCTGAGCCTGCCCCTTTGTGCACGGTTGCCTAGAAACCACAAGTGTCTGGCTTCACGTTTCCCTCTGCTTCTCTAGCCGAGACCCCACCTCCCTAGTGCCTGGCCATTCTTGGGGATTTCGGAGGGAATTTTCCTTTTGGTCAAGCAGAACAGCAAATGGTTGGGTTTCCTTTCCGTGAACCTCTCCTCAGCCTGGCCCTCCCCAGTCCCCTGTTCAGGCCTGCTTCCTCCTTGCAGCTTCCGACACAGCACACGTCCTGTGCCTTTCTCCTGCTCCCTGCTTCTCACTCTAACCCAGTCTCACTCTAACCCAGCTCATGCATTTTGTGACCCCTCTGTCATCTGTCATACTGTCCTCATATTTGCATTCCTGACATTCCTTCCCATGTCTAAAGTATCTCTCATGCCCCACCTCGCTTAGTTATACCATCGTTCTTCATACCCACTTGTGGATCTGATGACCTTGTATTGCTTCTGTCAGTCATATATCCATTCTGATGTACGTGGGTACTTTCTTGGACATAGCTGAATTTCATTGTTGGGTCTTGCTATCTCAATCATTGTTTACTGATTCAACAAACACTTGCAGGCTTCTATAAAATGCTAGGCTGAATAATGTTCACCCATACTGCATTCCTGAAGTTGTCTGCCAACTCATTCCCCTTCCTCCAGTCCCCCTCCACCTCCATCCCTCCCGAAACCAAACCATCAGCCTGATCTTAAAGCACTCTCCTAATTTCACTTTAGGATAGACTGATACAAAATTTGTTGTACAAACTGGGATACTTTTCTAAGTTAAGGGGGACATTATTAATTTTGATACTGGGATAGCAGGTATAAGCCAGCATTATTCTGGAAAATCAGAACATGTGATTACACTACTCCTAGGTGGCACCTCTTAGACTCTTTTCATTTTCCTCAGTTTACTCCCCATGGGATACACCAATTGCCTCTCTCTTCTGTTTTCCACTTCCTGAAGCTAAGAAACAAATAAATATTCGCAGAGATGACTGAGGATGGGGTATATGGGATTAAAGGAAATGAATAGCAATGTTTGAAAAATTATATTGAGGGGGTGCCATTGTGTTTCAGCTGGTTGAATTGTTGCTTGCAATGCCAGCTTCCTATATCAGAGTGCCAGTCCTCACTATTCCACTTATGATCCAGCTTCCTGCTAATGCACTTGGGAAAGCAGCAGAAGGTGGTCCAAGTCCTTGGGCCCCTGCCACCTGTGTAGAAGACTGGGATTGGAGTTCTTGACTCCTGGCTTTGGTCTGGTTAGACCCGGCTGTTGCAGTAATTTTGGAGAGTGAACCAGCAGCTGGAATATCTTTCTCTCTGTGTATCTCCCCTTCTCTCTTTCTCACTGTGGCTGCCAAATAAATAAATCTTAAAAAAGAAAAACTATATTGACAAGTGCGAAAGAGAAGAAAACTAACAGGAGAGAAAATATCAAAGTAGAAAAAAGAACATAGAGTGGGGAAAGTTAAGGGCAGATGTCACTCTTGTGTTTAGAGCTTGTCTCCTGTGTACCGTCAAGTTCTATACCTCTTTGTTTTGCCTTGTAATTTCAGTGTTCTGGCTGGACTCACTTCAGGTAACTTGATTCTTTCATTTGTTCATTCAATGATGAGAAAAATCTGAGTGCTTACTACGTGCCTGGAACTGTTGTAGGTGCTGGGAATCAGTGGTGAACAGAATCTGCCAGCGTGGAACTTTTTTTTTTGTTTTTAAAGATTTATTTTATGTTCGAAATTTAAAGATTTATTTTATATTTGAAAGAGTTACAGAGAGGGGTAGAGCCAGAGAGAGAAAAAAGAGACAGCTTCCATCTACTGGCTCACTCCCAAATGGCCGCAACGGCCAGTGCTGAGCTGATCCGAAGCCAGGAGCCAGAAGCTTCTTCCAGGTCTCCCACATGAGTACAGGGGCCCAAGGACTTGGGCCATCTTCTACTGCCTTCCCAGGCCATAGCAGAGAGCTGGATCGGAAGTGGAGCAGCCGGGGCTTTAACCTGCTGTACCACTGTGCCACAGCACCAGCCCCCCCCCCCCCCCAGCATGGAGCTTAGACTATATTATGAACTCCCACTTTTTTAAAGACAACTTCCTTTTTTATTTTTAATTTATTTTCATCTTACTTGAAAGGCAGAGAAGTGAGAGGGTAGGAAAGAGACAGCTGAAGAGAGAGCGTCCATCTGCAGGTTCATTCCCCAAATACCCACAATGTCCAGGGTTAGGCTGAGCCTGAGTCTCCCAGAGGGTGGCAGGGACCCAAGTACTTGGGCCATCACCTGCTGCCTCCCAAGGTTTGCATTATCAGGAAGCTAGATCAGAAGTAGAGTAGGGGGCCGTCACTGTGGCATAGTAGGTTAAGCCTCTGCCTGTGGCACCAGCATCCCATATGGACACCAGTTTTAATCCTGATTGCTCCATTTTTGATCCATCTCCCTGCCGATGGCCTGGGAAAGCAGTAGAAGATGGCCTGGGTGCTTGGGCCCCTGCACCCATGTGGAAGAGATCTGGAAGGCAGTCCAGGCTCCTGGCTTCAGATCAGCCCAGCTCTGGCTGTTGTCACCACTTGGGGAGTGAACCAGCAGATGGAAGATCTATCTCTCTCTCTCTCTCTCTGTAACTCTGCCTATGAATGAATGAATGAATGAGAAGAAGTGGAGTAGCCAGGGCTCAAACTGAGAACTCTGAGAGGGATGTGAGCATCTCAAGTGGCAACCTAACAGGTTCATTAAACACCCAGGCTTCCCACTTGTTTTTAAGTACACCAACACTATGCCACCTTCCTTTTGAGAAAACAGTCACTGCTCATTTTCTGCAGCTTAGCCTGAATTCTGAGTTTTCCCCAGCATCCCAAGCCCCAGTAATTAATTGCTCCTCCCTTCCCTAGCCATTCTCTACTTCATATCCTGCTTGGGTGATTTGCGAATTTGTAACTTCTCTTTATTATTTTGTCATACTACTCCATTGTATGTTCCTTAAAAGTAGGTATATTTCATGCTTGTATTAGTCTGCTCAGGCTGTCATAACAAAATACCATAGACCAGATGCCATAGATGACAGAAATGTATTTTCTCACAGTTCCGGAAGCTGTGAGTACGAGATTGGGGTGATCAGCCAATTCTGTTAATGTTGGGGGCTCTCGCCTCGGCGTGAGGATGCCCACCTTCTTGCTGTGTGTTCCCGTTACCTTTGCTTGCGTACATACAAGGAGAGTGAGAGCTGTCTTGTGCCTCCTCATATTGGACCAGAGCCCATCCTTATTACCTGTAAGGAGATATTCAGGGCTGTCCCCAAATACAAGCACATTGGACGTTAGGACTTCAACATAAGAATTTTAAAGAGCCACAACATTCAGTTTGTAGCTGTGCTTTTTTAAATATTCCCTGTTGGGCCCAAGACAGGGTATGTACAGAACAGGGTACCAGATAATTTTTTAAGGAATGCACAAAGAAAAGAGAAGTTTCAGACAAGATTAGAAATGGAAAAGGATATCCGAGAGAGCCATCTATCTGCTCAGAAAAGTCTGTTCCATCTGCCCTGCAGCCCCTGGCTTCTCATCGAGTTTCCTTCACCTGTTTCATCTTTCATGAGGAGAAGTAGCAGCAGCTGAAAGAGCGAGCTCAGGACCTTGTCAAGAATCCACCTCCCCCTCCATCCTTTCTGCTGACCCTCCATCTCTTGGGCGTCAGTCTGTGCATGGTTTACACCTGTCCTCCTGAGCCATGAATTCCAGCCTTTGCAGTTCCCTTCTTGTGGGTCTTGAACTCTCATTGGAAATATCCCTCCTCCAGAGAGCATGGCTCAGTTTGTCAGAAAGCTGTGAGACAAAGGAAAATAGTGGTTAAACGTCAAGGAACAACAGCAATGTCTACTACTAGCAAAATGGCAGGTAACATAAGGAATTTAACTAGTGATGTGTTTGTAGCCATAAAATGATCCAATGAAGATTAAAGAGCAATATAGAAAAATACTTTAAAAAATTAAATGGGAGAGGGACTGGGGAGATGTTGGTCAAAGGATAGAAAATTTCAGGACAGCAAAGTTTAGGAAATCTGTTGTACAACATGGTGATTATAGTTAATCACAGTGTATTATAAACTTGAAAGTTGCTGAGATTAGATTCTAAATGTTCTCACTCCCCCAAAAAGTAGGTATGTGAGGCAATAGGTATACTAATTACTTTGATTTAACCATTCCATGGTGTGTACATATATCAAAGCATCATGCTGGATACTATGAAAATATACATAATTTTTTGTTTAATTATCTAACAATATGCATATGGAAAATTCTGGAAAGGAACATAATAAATGGAAAGTCATGTCTTAATATCTTAGAGTCGTGTTTTGGTTTTTGGGTTTTTGGGGGTTTTTAAGATTTATTTATTTGAGAGAGAGAGCTACAGACAAAGAGAAGGAGAAATGGAGAGAAAGGTCTTCCATCCACTGGTTCACTCCCCAAATGGCCACAATGGCAGAGCTGAGCTGATCAGGAGCTTCCTCTAGGTCTCCCAGGCCATAAACAGGGAGCTGGATCAGAAGAAGAGCAGCCAAGACAGAAACTGGTGCCCATGTGGTATGCTGGCACCACAGACAGAGGTTTAGCCTACCATGCCACAGCGCTGGCCTGTTTCTTGGGTTTTTTACAGCCCAGTGCCCTCCAGATTTGAGATCTGCAGGGTTATCTGTATGTCCAGAGTTTCATGTCAGACCAGTTGGGAAATTCCTGCTCATGTGGTTCTAGGTATCAGCCCTTCTTGGTTGTGTTCTCTCTTGCTCTCACCCTTTTGCTCTCCTTAAGATACTTTCTTATTATGCCAGGCAGGGTCCTATCAGAGCTTCCCTCTGCCATGCTTTAACCTTCTTCCCTCATTTAGGCTCTCAGATTCACTCAGTAGCCCCGGTCTATCAGTAATAGCATGGTGAAAACAGACAGATGAGACTATCACATAAAGCTGTGTCCTGCTACAGGCAAGCCTCTGTGAAGTGGCTGTGAGACAGCCAGTCTCTGGTTTTGGAAGACTTGTGTCACCACTTATCAAGGAAGGGCTTACAAACAAGGGTGTCATCTGGGGCTTACTACCAGGACCTAGAGCAAAAAATAGGATCCTAGTCGTACCCAAAGACAGAACACCTGTTGCTGTTCTATAGCACAGTTTTGAATACCCATTATGTGCCAGCTCTTGTATCATTACAACTAGAGGATAAGTCAGCAAGAGCTAAAAGCCAGGCCAATCTGAAGATTAGTCATCTGAGCTACTGAACTGGGTCTTCTGGTTCACATTTTCTAGGACCCAGATTATAGTTTAGCCTGCCATTTGGAATTAAATGCATCCAATTCTGGGTTTAGAAGATGAGGCAGGGCCGGCGCCGCGGCTCACTAGGCTAATCCTCCGCCTTGCGGCGCCTGCACACCAGGTTCTAGTCCCAGTCGGGGCGTCGGATTCTGTCCCGGTTGCCCCTCTTCCAGGCCAGCTCTCTGCTGTGGCCCGGGAGTGCAGTGGGAGGGATGGGCCCAAGTCCCTGGGCCCCCTGCCCCCCATGGGAAAACCAGGAAGAAGTAACCTGGGTCCCTGTCCATTTGGATCAGGCGCGGGGGCCCGGGCCGGCGGAAGTCATTGGAGGGTGAACCAACAGCAAAGGAAGACCTTTCTCTCTGTCTCTGTCTCTCTCTCACTGTCCACTCTGCCTGTCAAAAAAAAAAAAAAAAAAAAAAGAAGAAGAAGAAGATGAGGCAAGAAGAAACCAGGGCAAATATTTACTATTCATTGCTAATTCTGCTGCTGGACCTCTTGGGCTCCTTGCCACCTCTGGCTTTCCATAAGCTTCCACCTTGGCCTCTCTGTGTCACTTTCCTTTCCTCATTTGTTTTCATCAGCTCCCTTGCCCTTGAGCATGTGCCCGTGGTCTGCCTATTATGTCCTGAGATATGTCCTATTATGTCTGTATGTGTCCTGTTATGGTCTACCTATCTTGTCCTCAGATAATTCTCCTTGTTCTAGTACAGAGTACGGGTGACATGTGCAATTTCTGTTTCTCTGTCAGATGGTGATAAGTGGGACTGAGGAGATGTTGATTCCAAAGCAACATTCCTGAAAAATCAGAATCATGCTTTCAATAGAATTCCGCAGAGCTGTTGCCAAAGAGGTAAACATGTAGAAGTTTCCTTAAAAGGAAAAGAGAAGACTTTAGAAGCCAGTGGTATGCTTCACATAGAAGAAAATGAGGAGAAAGACGAGAAACTTCAAACATAAGATGGTTAAAGACAATAAAACCCTCACAGACCTGAGTGACCAAGAATCTGAAAAAGATGGTAGTCAGAACTGTGACGCCGCAACAAATGAGAGAGTTCAGGCTGAAAAGAGACAGTATGTATGTGCCGAGTGTGGAAAAGCCTTTAGCCAGAGTGCAAACCTCACAGTACACGAGCGAATCCACACAGGAGAGAAACCATACAAATGTAAGGAGTGTGGAAAAGCCTTCAGTCATAGCTCCAACCTTGTTGTTCACCGGAGAATCCACACTGGACTAAAGCCCTATACTTGCAGTGAATGCGGGAAATGTTTCAGTGGTAAGTCGCACCTCATTCGGCACCAGGGAATCCACAGTGGGGAGAAAACTTATGAATGTAAGGAGTGTGGGAAAGCCTTTAGCCGGAGTTCAGGACTGATTTCCCATCACAGAGTTCACACTGGGGAGAAACCTTATACTTGTATCGAGTGTGGGAAAGCCTTTAGCCGGAGTTCAAACCTTACTCAGCATCAGAGAATGCACAAAGGAAAGAAAGTTTACAAATGTAAGGAGTGTGGGAAAACATGTGGTTCTAATACAAAGATTATGGACCACCAGAGAATTCACACTGGGGAGAAGCCTTATGAATGTGACGAGTGCGGCAAAGCTTTCATCTTAAAGAAGACCCTCAGTGAACACCAGAGACTCCATCGTAGAGAGAAACCTTACAAATGTAATGAGTGTGGGAAAGCTTTCACTTCCAATCGAAACCTTATTGATCATCAGAGGGTTCACACTGGAGAGAAACCTTACAAATGTAACGAATGTGGGAAAACCTTCAGGCAGACATCTCAAGTTATTCTACATTTGAGAACCCACACTAAGGAGAAACCATACAAATGTAGTGAGTGTGGGAAAGCCTATCGCTATAGCTCACAACTTATTCAACATCAGAGAAAACATAATGAAGAGAGAGAAGCCTCATAAATACAGTCATGCGTCACTAAATGACCAGGATATGTTCTGAGGAATAACATTGTTGGATAATCTTGCCATGTAAACATTGAGTGTACTTAACCAAAATGAAGCTACAGTGCCGCCAGGTGGTATAATCATTTGAGACCACTGCCTTATTTGCAGTTTATCACTGTTTGAAAGTTCGTTGTGCAGTATGTGATTGTAACAAATACTGTTGGTCATAGGGCTAATTACTACTTTCTGAAAAACAGGTTTTCAGTATCCTCATGAATTTCTAGGAATTCATATAGGGAAAAGTATACTTAGATTGAAAAAAGGGATACTCATGCCAGTATCACACATAACTAGAAAAAAGAAAACTAGGTTTTTTAATGGTACTGGATTTAAATGAACAGCAGTCCATCTGTGTAGTCTTTGGATAGCCATTATAAGCAGTTTTAAAGAATATTTAATGCCACAGAGAAATGATTTAGATAAAATGGAACAAAGAAGGGAAAACAATGACATATAATCCAAATTTTTAAAAATGTGTATGTGTAGGAAACAAAGGGAAGGTAGTAAACCAAAACTAAAAATGTTAACAGTGATTATCTCTGGGTAATAGGATTATAGATGGTTTCTATTTTTGTGTGTATACTTTTCTATGCTTTCTAGATTTTCTACAATGAGAATGCACTACTTTTATATTCAGGAAAAAAGTACAGTATTTTTTCAGTGCAGTTAGTACATACCCATGTTCATTCAACAGTGTTAGGAAAGGCATATGGTATATGGAATCAAGTTCCAGGATTGCAAACCAATACAAGAGGGTACTTCAAAAAATTCATGGAAAATTAAAAGATGTTTATTCTGGTACAAAACTATTCCATACATAGTTTTTTCATAATATGCACTTTCCATAAACTTTTTGAACACTCTTTGCATGGATTTCAAAATGTGTTTGCACCAACATATTTTTTAACTTCATCTTCCTTGAACTTTTCAAAGTATCCTCACTGGTCCTGGCACTTAGCAGTAGAGGAACCATGAGCAGATCACTTCCAATTAGAGCCTGTTTCCTGTTCAGGGAAATCACAAACACCAACCCTTTGTCTTAAGATAAGCTGACTTTACAGTTGTCAGCAAAATGTGTGATCACTGTTAGGTTAAAGAACACTGCATCCTATGGTTATGGGAGGATCCATGAATGATAGAGAACTACTTAGGCTCCATTTTTTTCTGTATGTGTCTAAACAACTAGAAGAAAAATGGCTTTGTGAAATTGAAAGAATTGTAGGCTCAAACACTTTAAAGAGTTACCATTAATATAAAACTAGTAGAAGACTGCTGTCATATGTTCTGTAGAGCTTAGTAGCTAAATGTGCTTTAGGGTTGGTGAGATCTGTGTTCTAGTTCCAGATCTACCACGCACTAGCTTGTTGATTTCAGATAAATCACTTTACTGCTGTGAACCTCAGACTTACCTATAAAAGAGGAATAGTCCATACGGTTGTTGTGAAGATGAAATTAAATAATGCACATAATGTACAACAAGCCTGGTACTTGGTAAACAGTAATAGCTTAGGTGTAGGACATTGGCATGGTATTTCTAAACACTTCACTGAGAGTGACTGAGGAGGAGTTTTGCCAAAGGTAGTATTTTCAGGTGTAATGAACAGTACCAAATGGTAGTATAGACATTAAGAACATTGATGATTTACTTAAGGGGGAGAATAGATAAGTGTCGCTCCCCGTCTTCGTGGAGGAACGACACAGGACCCTGCGCTGTTCTTTCGTCTGCTCGGCCCTCCCCGGGTTTGCTGCTGGTTCTTCCCGGGTTGGCTACTGTCCCTTCCACCTCCGTGGAAGGGCGGTTCCCCCTGGCCACATTCCCCACTTCCGCAGGGGAGCGGCACACCGCCGGCCGGCTCTCTCGGGGGCTGCACAGGCGTTCCCCTTAGATGTTCCCCTTAGATGTTCCTGGTGAATGCCGTCTCTCTCCTCCTTTATAGTCCTCCTCCGCCAATCCCAACTCGGCTGCCCACACGCCGAGTACGCTGCTCTCCTCCAATCAGGAGCAAGTCCTACAGTTTATTGGTTGAACTGGAGGCAGCTGTGCGGAAGCTGTTTACTTCTCTCCCAGCGCCATATTGTGGGAGAGCAGATGCATAGAATAAGTCTTAATTCCAGTAACTCAGTCTAGTCCGGGTTGCTCCCCACAGATAAGCAGTTTGAAATTTTGTTTGGTGACTTAGCAGTGCATCAGACATCCACGTTAACACCACAATTTTCAGCATATTGCCATTCATTTTTCATAACCTTGTGGTTGCAAGGCAGTTTCCCCAACTGCAAGTTTTTCTTCACACAGCTTCTTCAAAGTCTGTAAATAAGAAGTAGAGGCTCTCTTTGGTTCCTTTCATCATTGAGGGAAAAAAACTTTCCCAAAAGAAGGGAAGGGTGGTACTGAGTAGTCAACACTACATTTTTTTCAGTGGCTTCCTCTGCCTTTCCTTATGCCAGCCTCCAAGAAAGCCTTAGCCCATCTTCAAATAGCATTTGAAACTTACAAGTTCTTAGCCCAGAATCCATCTGAGAACACTTAAAAGCTCCCCATTCCCTAAGGCCAGTGCCATTTATCTTATGCACAGAGTACTTCATTGTTTCAGAAACTGTGGAGAATATGTTATTTCAATCTTCCCATAATTTGCACAAGAAAACAGTCTTGGTGAGGTTAGATGACTGGCTAATTAAGTCAGAATTTGAGCTCAGATCTGACTTTGCAGTTCATATTCCCTTCTTTATACGAAAGTGCCTCTGCCCACGATGGTGTCTGTGTGATTGAAAAACCAGATGATTGTATCTGGACAGTTATTTGAGCATGGTTTCATAAGGAAGTTGCTGTCAATCTTCTCTGAGATTTATGACCTATATTTGAACCTCAATTTTTTCTGTGTCCCCAAGTCTTTTTAAAAGTGTATTATTTGAAAGGCAGAATGAGACTGAAAGAGAGGTCTTGCATTGGCTCACTTCTTAAATGCCTGTGACAGCTGGGGCTGGGCCAACCCAAAGCCAGGAGCCTGGGTTTACACCTGGGTCTCCCACAAGGGTGGCAAGGACTCAGTACTTGAACCATCATCAGCTGCTTCCTGGCTATATTAGCAGGAGGCTGAACAGAGTCTGAGGTGGAACTGGATCCCATGCACTTGGATATGGGATGTGAGTGTCTGAAGCAATGCCCTCTCCTGTGGCTCATAATTTAGGTTGAAGGGTTATATATTTCTTCCTTGTTACTGGAAAAAAAAAAAAGTGATGGGTGTGAAAATTAAGTGTTTATGTGAAAAAAAAAAACAACTCCTGTTTGATACGACAGTGCTTTGCACATAATTTTGTGATGCAGTATTCCCTGTTCGGCTGGAAGGCCTGGAACAGATTTACTTCATTCAGGAGATGGGACTGTGACATCGTCACTGACTGTTGATGCTCCCTGAATTGCTGAGCAGATATTTTCTGAGCAAAACATGTTCCCATCACTGTGTCATGGGTCTGTAATTCTTTGCTTTAATGGGCTTTTTCATCTTAAAAGACTTTATGATCTATGAAAGTATCTTCTAGGAAGGACATAATATCTCGTATCCAGACATCTGAATACAGAATAGCCTCCGATTTCTTGCCCCAGGCAAGCTGGGATTACGGTCCCTTGAGGAAGCCCTCATTTGTCTTCTAGGCTGATGCCTGCATACGTTGCAGGAGTAAACAGTGACGACAGGTCCTTGAATTCTTTCAGGTCACTATAATTTGAACAGGTCACCCACCTTCCTGCTGGAGTCCACAGGAGTACCAGCTGTTAGTCAAAGTTGAAGCGTGCAGCCCTTTGCATCCTTTCAGGCCCTTTTATAACAACCTCTGGTGTTCTACACTTTCTTGTCCTGATGGAAACCTGGCTGCTTCCTAAGGGCAGTGTTCGCTTGGCAGTCCCTCAGTTGCTAGTTTCTGTCTCCATCAGAACCCTAGGCGTTTTGAAGTGAAAGAGACTACACTGTGTTACCCCATCCCTGTGCTTGTCATCTGCCAGCCACTAACATTTATTCACTTATTTATTTATTTATTTTTAGTACCCCAAATTTTCCTAGCCACAAGTATTCTGATATAATAGAAGTGCTCCTGTGTGGAATAAAAATATGTATGCCCCTATTTAGTTGAGAAGAAAGTGGGAAATAAAATTTCATATAGCTTGATTCAAGGGAAGTACATGAGGCAGAAAGAATTCTTAGAGAGGGAAGTGTCTTCCTGAACCTAGAGATATTTTTGTAGGTAGTATGTCCTGTTTTAGGTGTTACTTGGAAGAAAATTAAAACCAAAAAGAGCTTTAAGTAGCTGAGTAATTATGTTGACTCTAAATCCTGTACTAGATTTCATTGCAGTCCTGTGTCTTTGTTGACAGATGTCCTTTTAAAAGTTATTTCCCATCATTTAAATGAGGGATGCTCATTTTTTAGATTTTAGTCAATAGACTGTCTTCAATTATCTCTTATAAAACTACAGTCTTAAAATTGTTTTTTTCAGGAAATAGTGGTATTCCTTCAATAAACATCCGCTATTCTTATACATACCCTTGATAATTTTTTTCTTTTTGCTTCCTTTGTTCAGAGTGAGAAGAAAAGAGTTCAAGCTTTTCTTTAAGCAGCTGTTTTTAGAATGAAGAAGTGACTCTGGCTTGTTTTTTATGTAAATGCTACATGAAGCTTGTTTTCACTCTTAAAATACATATTTGAGAGCTCTCTGTTAGTAATTTTTTTTCTGTTATTTTCTTAGAGGATGGATCCAGACAGTTTTTGGCTCACCCCCTCTTGCCTTATTTGTGTTTCGAACCCCGTTATGTAGCCCTCGACCATATAAACAACAGCCATGTTCTCTGAAGCCCATCTCTGTTCCCAAAGGTAGATTTTAGGGGTAAAAAGAGAGCAGACTCCTTTCTGGGAGCTATGGCTGCAGAACCTGACTAGTCTCCACTTCTCCCACAGATTATTTCAAGTCCATATGGCAGAGTTGAACCACATGGATTCTAGATTTGCAAATACAGCCAGTCTGAAATGAAGGCCAGCGAGCTACAAACTTGGGGATCATCAGGAATTGTTTGATGCCTACAAATAGATTTCCCAGTCCTGCATACTCAGCTTGGAGGGAGGCCTATGAATTGATATACAATAAACCTTTGGCAGTGGGAATCAGATCCTTTAAGGGCCTTGACTCTACATAACTACTTTTATAATAATTATCCACTTTCCCTTGGAAGATCTTATAAATCACAAAATTATTGGCACATGTACCAAAGTTTATATGATCATATGATAAGGTAGCAAACAGTACTGAATCTGAGAGACTGCTGCCACATTTTCAGTGTTGGTTTAACCACAGGATTTATGAGAGAGCTCTCTTTAGAAAAATAGAACATAGCAAATTAGATCATCAAGACACCTAGAAATGCTGGGTAAAATGGAAATGTCTTTTAAAGGACTTTCAATAAAATAAATCCTCAGAGCCAAAAATGAATAATAAGTTGAAGCAAGAAAGCTAAGTGGATATTGGTGCCTTTGGGTGTCATGAGGCAGTTTAGCATAGCAATCACACAGGGCAGGATTTGAGTCTTCGGGCTTGCAAGAGGTGGAAAATTAGAAATGAGATCTAAACAAAAAGGCCAGACCCAGGACTGTGCCCTGAGTAACAGCCGGGATAGAAAAAGGGAGCAAAGGAAAGCATCAAAGAGGCTTATAGGACATTTCCTGGTACTTAAGTGGAAAATAAGTCTCTAGTAATTGATGTGAGTCAATCGTCATGATAGTTTGGAGTTCAAATGTGAGCAACACCCAACCAAGAAAGTAATATAAAATATACACTTCCAAATATACCTGCAGCAGTTGTTTACAATTTAACAGTTTTAAAACCGGAGTTATTTTAAGCTCAGCTTTTTAGCAAGTGCTATGGTTCCAATGGGCTATGGCTCCTGAATCCATATAGTTCGTTAACTTCCAGAGTCCTAAGTTGATGGTACTGAGAGGGGAGAAATTAATCCAGTTATGGTGTTGAGAAAGTGAGGCCTACTGGGAAGTCCTTAGAACATGGAGGGTGTGCCCTTGGAAGTCCTGGGAGGGTTGGTTATAAAAGGCTGAGTTAGGCCCACTCTCTCTCTACCTCCTGGCTTGCTCTGTGTTCCTTCTGCACACGCTCCACTACTGCCAGCCTCTAACCTCACCAGATGGCTGAACCAATGGGGCCTACCCTAGTGGGATAGTGAACCTCAAAACCGTGAACCAAAATAAACTTTCTTCCTTCACACATAGCTTATCTTGGGCATTTTGTTATAGTGAGGAAAATGTGACTAGTCCAGCAAGTAAACTCTGAGACAGGATATAAAGCAGAAAACTTATCAGGGAGCATTACTGGGATTAACGTCATTAGAGAGGAAGAAAGCAGTTTTAGCAGTGGGAGTAGTTAGCTGTGTTGAGTCACAGCAAAGACTTCAGACGCAGTCAGACTTGGATGGCCTTTCAAAATTGCCCGAACTTGAAGTGAGAGGCCTGGCCTTTCCACCCCCTGCAAAAGCCCAGCACACTAAGGGAAACATGGCCCTGGGTGAGATAGCTCACCCAGGCACCGAGCGAGAAGGGGGCCCTGGCAAAGGTTTTGAATTGAAGAGACAGAGCTCAGAATCCAAAGGGACTGAGGCAGAATAGCTCACAACTTGGAATCCTAATCCTGGAAGGGTGAAACCTTCACAGAGAATTCTGTGTGTGTGTGATGGGTCCCCTAGGATATTCAGCTGAGTACCAATTGGCATATGTACATGAGGAAATGCACCCAAGGTCAGAGAGAGAGTAGATGGAAGATTCCCTCTCTCTCTCTCCCTCTCTTTCTCTCTCTCTCTTCCCCTCTCTCTCTCTCCCTCTCCCCATCACTCTCTGTGTAACTCTGACTTGCAAATAAATAAATTAAAAAACAGTAACTGCAGAACATGCATAGAATTAAAATAGAATTTATAACAGATATTTGCAAATCCTCATGTATTTGAGGACTAAATAAACAGTGAGTTAATGGTGAAATTCAAAAGCCTTCCTTTACAAGCCGATGCCTTCCCTTCTCCTCCTTCCCCTCCCCCCTTCTTTTTCTTTATTTACCCGCACTCTCGAGACCCTCCAAGTCCAGCGTTCTGTAGAAGTGGTGAAAGCAGGCATCTTCCTCATCCTCATGATCTTAGGGGGCACATAGTCCTCCACTATTGAATATCATGCTAGCTAGAAAATTTTTATGGATTTTTTTATCAGATGGAGGACCTCTTATTCCAAATTCACTGTGTTTCTAAATTCCTAAATCAGGGGAGAATGTTGAGGTTTTTTAAAAAGATGCATTTAATTCTTTTTTTAAAAAAGATTTATTTTATTTATTTGAAAGACAGAGTTACAGAGAGAGGTAGAGATAGAGAAGTCTTCCACCCGCTGCTTCACTCCCCAGATGGCCACAATGACCGGAGCTGTGCCAATCAAAGCCAGGAGCCAGGAGCCTCCTCCAGGTCTCCCATGCAGGCACAGGGGCCCAAGGACTTGGGCCATCTTTTATTGCTATCCCAGGCCATAGCAGAGACTGGATCAGAAGAGGAGCAGCCAGGACTAGAACCAACGCCCATATGGAATGCTGGTGCTTCAGGCCAGGGCTTTAACCCGCTTCGCCACAGCGCCAGCCCCTATTTAATTCTTTGAAAGAGAATTACAGAGAGGCAGAAGAAGGGAGAAAGAGATTTTCCATCTGCTGGTTCACTTCCCAGATGGCTGCAGTGCCTGGAGCTGGTGGGCCAATCAGAAGCCAGGAGCTTCTTCCGGGTCTCCCATGTGGGTGCAAGGGCCCAAGAACTTGGGCCATCTCCCACTGCTTCCCCAGGTGCATTAGCTGGGAGCTGGATTGGAAGTGGAGCAGCTGGGACTCTAACTGGCGCCCTTAGGAATGCTGGCACTGCAGGAGTGGTTTTACCTGCTATACCACAGTGCCAGCCCCGAGAATGTTGAATTTTATCAAAACCTTATTCTAGGCGCCAGCATTGTGGTGTAATGGGTTAAGTTGCCACTTATAACACCATCATCTTTTGATCCAGTTCCCTATTAATGAGCCTGGGAAAGCAGAAGGAGATGGCCTGAGTGCTGGGACCCCTGCATCCTGGTTTCTGCCTGGCCCAGCCCTGGCTGCTGTGGCCAGGTGAGGCATGACCAGCAGACTCTGTCTTTTAAATAAAATTTAAAATGTCTAAAAACAAGCTTATTCTACATCTATTGCAATGGTTATGAGTTTTTGTTTCTAGTTTGTTAATATGGTGAATCATGCAGTTCAGTTTTCAAGTACAAAGCCAAACCTGCATCCTCTGAAGAAACTCCACTTGGTCATGACATGTTCTCTTTTTAAATATATTTTTGGACTTTATTTGCTGCAATCTCAGGATTTTTACATCTACGTTTATGAGGGCTACTGGTCTGTACTTTATTGTAATGTCTGGCTTGGGGATCAGGGTGTTGCCAGCATCATAGAACAAGTTGGGAATAATGTCCTCGCGTTCAGTCTTCTGCGAGAGTTGATCTGTAGCGTTAGAATTATTTCTTCCTTAACTATTTGGCAAAATTCACCAGTGAAGCCAAGTGGGCTTAGAGTTTTCTTTATGGGAGGTGTTTAAACTACAAACTTATTTTACAGGATTATTCAGGTTATTTATTTCCTCTAAAGTGAACTTTGATAGTCTGTCTTTCAGGGAACTGGCCGTTTTCTCTGTCAAAGTTATTGGCACAATGTTGTTTATAAGACCACCCTATTTCCCCCTTCTTTGGCATAGATGCACAGTGAAGCCACCTCTTTTTATCCTGATATTGACATTTCATGTGTTTTCTCCTTTTTTTCCCTGCTCAGTCTTGCTAGAGGCTTATCAATTTTACTGATTTTTCTAAAATACATTTTTGGCTTCTTTGATTCTACTTTTCTGTTTTGTATTTTAGAGATTCTATTCTGATCTTCATTAATCCACTTTTTGCTTATTTTGGTTTTGTTAATTTCTTTTTTTTAACTTTTATTTAATAAATATAAATTTCCAAAGTACAGCTTTTGGATTACAGTGGCCTTTTCCCTCCCATAACTTCCCTGCCACCTGCAACCCTCCCATCTTCTGCTCCCTCTCCCATTCCTTTCACATCAAGAATTATTTTCAATTATCTTTACCTACAGAAGATCAATTTAGTATATATTAAGTAAAGATTTCAACAGTTTGCACTCACACAGAAACACAAAGTATAAAGTATTATTTGAGTACTAGTTATACCATTGATTCACATAGTACAACACATTAAGGACAGAGATCCTACATGGGGAGAAAGTACACAGTGACTCCTATTGTTGATTTGGTTTTGTTAATTTCTTAAACTTTCCTCTTTTCTTTCTTTGTTTTCCTCTCTCTCTCTCTTTTTAAATATTTATTTATTTATTTATTTGAAAGGCATAGTTACAGAGAGATAGAAGAGACAGAGATTTTCCATCTGCTAGTTCACTCCCTGAATGGCTACAACACACAAGGCTGGGCCAG